ATCGATATGAAGGACCATTTGAGGTAACGCACAAAGTAGATGAGGTGTCATATCCCCTAGAGTTACCACCAAAGCTAAAGATCCATCCGGTGTTTCATGTTAGTACGCTAAAGCCATACCATACGGACGAGGAGGATCCAAGCCGATGAGTCTCTCATAGAGCACCTATAACATTAGTTGACTTGTATGACAAAGAAGTTGATTTCATACTTGATGATCACATAATTAGGAGTACTATGTGAAATGAAAGAGATTACCCGACGAGTAAGGCTAGTTGAGAACCCGTTCAAGCCTTGTGGCAATTCGCACGAAGGTCGAAGAGTATAATAAAGGTGCACCGAGGACGTCGTCAAATTATGTGGGGGAGAGTGTTTCACCCTTCTTAAAAGAGGGATTTTTCTATAGGCTCTAAAGAACACTAGATAAGTCTAGAAGTTTCTATGAGAGTATGGAGTAATCAAGAAGCCTCTAAAGAAGTCCGGAAGCTTCTAGAAGAGTATGGAGTAATGGAGAAGCCTCCAGGATAACCTAGAGAAATCTAGACATGTCTTAGAGAATTATAGAGACTCCTCACTATTCTAACATGTGCATATCTAGATAGTTTCTAGAAAATATTTAAGTATGTCTTAGGGAATATCTAGATAATTCCTTGCAAATATTTAGATAGGATATTTCTAGAGAAATAATTGTAGCTATTAGATTAAATAGATCTTAGCCATCCATTGAAAAGGTGGAAGACTATAACTAGGTGAGGCCTTCACTTGGCCAAGACACCTAGACATCCACAAATTTAAGAGAGTGTATCTTAGAGTTGTAAGCTTTAGAAAGCAATACAAAGAGTTCTTATATCTCTTGTGTGTGTCTTTCTTACTTAGCAACTTTGTATGAAAAAGGCTGACTTGGTTTGTCTTAGAGAAGAAAAGAACCAAGTGCCACGCGTGAGCTTAGGAAAGGCCAAGTCCGTAACAAGTTCGCTAAAATAAATGCAAAAAATACAACTAAAAAAACCAAAAAGACAAAAAAAAAAAGGTGTATTTAAGATATGAGTAACATATAAGAACAAATAGTTGCCCAACATTAAAATAAGACAATTTATTAAGATATGAATAAATAGTTGGCAAATAGTATTGGAGTAATAAAATTAATTAAGAAGCTATGTTAGTTTAATAAACCTTGCAATAAAATGTTAATATTTGATGTAATAATTTAATTGTGATTGCTTTTTTCATTTATTATTTTCTTCCATCAACCCGTGTAGAAAAAAAAAACATGTCGATACCTTCATTTGATTTAAGTAGCTACTATCATAGCTCTCACACAATTCAAGTTTATTTTCTTGTTTTGATGCCATACATAACAACAAAACATATAATATTATTTTTATAGACAATATGAGCTTTTTGGGGTACTTTTAAAAGATAGGAATGAGGATCTTTTTCACTTTTATACAAGAATATTGGGCATGCACAAACTCAAACTTAATCTATATATCATATCAAACTAAAATGTCTATTGTTTTGTCCGAGTGATTGTATATTTATTTCATATTGGTTATCTCTTTATTTGTATTGTTATTATTATTCAATACATTAACATAATTAAATTGATATTTGTATTTAATATGTAGATTTCTACCCTGCTACATGCTCAATTTGTAAGACTAAATTCAAAAGAATATTAACCGGTAATTTTATGGAACATAATTATAAATGCAAGGTAAAAATAAATTTTCTTCACTCTTCTCAAAATTAATATTTTATTATCATTTATGTCGTCACGCCTCCTCACACTTGCAGACTTACAACGTCGGGAGGCATGATGACAATTTATAGGGTTTTTTCTTTAATCTTTTCTTCTTCTTCTTCTTTTTTAAAAAATATTTTAGAAGAAGTGTAAGAAACTATAGCTGCAATCGCCGCTAAAGATGCACGGGCCTTGAAGTCGTTGCTAAAATAGATTCAAAAAATACCATCAAAAAAATGAAAAACACCAAAAAAAAAAGTATCTTTAAGATATGAGTAAGATATAAGCACAAATGGTTGTCCAACATGAGAATAATAAAAGAAGACAATAAATTAAGATATGCACAAATGATTGGCGAGATAGTATTGGAATAATAAAATTAAGAAACTATGTTAATTTAATGAAAATTGCAATAAAAAGTTAATATTTGATGTAATAAATTAATTTTTTTCCCATTTTACTATTTTCTTCTATCTACCCTTATAGGGAAAAAAAAAAAAAAACCACACCGATACCTTTAGATTTAATCGCTACTATTATAGACCTCACACAATTCAAGTTTATTTTCTTGTTTTGATGCATAAATAACAACAAAGCATATAGTAGTGCTTGAATAGATAATATGAGTTTTTTTGAGGTATTTTTAGAAGATAAGAGTGGAAATTTTCTTTACTTTGATATGGGAATATTATGTGCATACAAACTCAAACCTAAACTACCATATCAAACTAAAATATCTATCATTTTGCCAAGCAACTATGTACTTATTTTATATAGGTTATCTCTTCATTTGTATTGTTATTATTATTTAATACAGTAACATAATTAAACTAATATTTGTATGTAATATGTAGATTTTTAGCCTTGTTACATGCTCGATTTGTAAGACTAAATTTGAAAGAATATCAACAGTAATTTTATCAAACATGATGATATTAAATGCAAGGTAAAATAAAATTTTCTCACTCTTCTCAAAATTAATATTTTATTATCATTTATGTTGTCGTGCCTCCCAACATTGTGACCTGTAACATCGAAGGCATTGCAACAATTTATATGATTTTTGCTTTAATCTTTTTTTAGAAGAAGCGTGAGCAAGCTCTGCAATTGTCGTTGAAGATGCATGAGCTACTGAAGTTTTTACCAAAATAGATGCAAAAAAACCAAAAACACAATATATATATATATATATATATATATATATATATATATCTTTAAGATATGAGTAAGATATAACAATAAATGGTTGTCCAACATTAGAATAATAAAATAAGACAATCAATTAAGATAAAAATAAATGGTTGGCAGATAGTATTGGAGTAATAAAATTAAGAAACTATGTTAATTTAATGAAAATTGCAATAAAAAGGTAATATTTGGTGTAATAATTTAAGAGTGATTGCTTTTTTTTATTTTATTATTTTCTTCTATCTACTCGTGTAGGAAAAGAAAAAACACACCAATATATTCATTTGATTGAAGTCGCTACTATCATAGCATTTATATAATTGAAGTTTATTTTCTTGTTTTGAGGTCATACATAACAACAAAGCATATAGTAATGCTTGTATGGACAGTATGAGCTTTTTGATTTACTTTAGAAGATAGGAGTGGAGATCTTCTTCACTTTGATACGGGAATATTGTTCGCTTATATTCCTACCGAAAAAATTTCTTCTAACAATTATTTTTATTGATACATATATGCTAAATTAACCTTAAAAAGATTTTGGCAGAAACTCTTGCTTTCCATCCACAAATAGTTAGTTTCCATGTTTTAGATGCATACTAGGTTTCCTTCTGTTATCGATTTTGTTTTTGTTTTTATTAGGTGTATGAGGTTGAGATTTTATTCTTTTTCTTATGTGATTTCTATTTTTTATTGGGATTTTGGTGTTGATGACTTGTTGGGACCGTTATTGGAAGAGGTTGGGACCTTTTGATTTATTGGTTTGCTGCATTTTCTGGCTATATTCTTTGTTTCACCTTCTCCATTGGTAGAATTCTTACCTTTAGTGTTCTCGAATTAATTGATTGAGTTATATATATATATAATCCATTTAATAGTTGTAGAGATGTTCTTAATTGTAGAAATCCTAGTTACTCTCATCATAATTATTGTTTACACACATCGTTTTCTTTGTTTTTTTTTTTTAAAAAAATTATATAACTAACAAGTTATTGGTTTTATGGTAAGCGAGTTGGTCTCCAAATGAATTTTTTTATCAAAGTGTAGGATTCAAATTCTAAAATCATACTTGTTTAAAGAGGTGAAATTTTATTGCTTCCATTCTGAATATAATTAATCCTATCTCTAATGTGGAATAAAAATACTTAAAAAAAATTATTTATAACACATCTCATGTGTTTTTTCTTTTTAACAACACTCGAACACTAATGCGGGGTGGTTAGAAGCAACTTAGAGCTTGATTGAGAAATCTAGAACCTTTTTTAGCAGTTTTTAAGTTTTTTTACTCAAAATGGTGAATAAACTCCGCATCCTGTCGCTTTTTGGGCTTTTTGGATAGTGATTGGCTGGAACAAAAAACTAATTGGAGAACGGGCTTTAAGTTATAAATCGATCAAGAAGAAGGTGAAGAATCCATTAAGCTTTTCTTAATTTGTTTGGCTACCAAGCTTAAGTTAAATTTTGTTATAACACAAGAACATCATTTGTACAATTTATTCAAAAAGAAATCGATGTTGGTTTTGAGTTTCAGTTTTTAACAGCAGCTATTTGAAGGGAAGTTATATGCTTTCAGTCTTTAGACATGATTTGGTTTCTTTTAGTTTTAAGGACATTGAACTTGAGTCCACGAGTGTGTCAATGGAGGAATTTGCTTGGCCATCCAATCGAAATATATACCGTTTTCGGAACTATCAGGTAGAGGCTTGTGGCGAACTCTTACTTCTACACAAGATGTTATTTGGATTGGACTTGGCAGAGGTGCGTTTCGATTTGATGTTTCAGAAAACAAATGGGTGAAAACGAACAACCTCAAAGGATGAAACATCCTTCTTTCCATGACAAGAGGCATGGCTTGCTCTGCAGCAGAACTGGGCGTTAAACAAAACTCAATCTACTTTATACAACCATAGAACACATGCCTTCGTGTTTTTGACTGGAAGATGATACTTTTTCATTAACTTTGCCTTGTCTCACAATAAGCTGTGATGTGGAATTTGATTGGATTATGATCTTGCCAGCGTGAAGAACAAAATATCCTACCAAAATTTAACTTTCATACCATGTTTAACTTACTCTTTCTCGGTTCACATGTCTTAATTTAATATGTTTTATATTGGATCAAGGAAATACAAAGGCATGGACTTCGTTGAAAAAGCTTAAGTTTGAGTTCAAATTTTGATTATTATAAATAAACTAAAAGGCATAGGTTTTTTCAACAGTAATTTACTATTGTTTGAGTGTTCACTTCTTGTTCATAATTTTTTTTTCCGCCGCCCCCCCCCCCCCTTTTTTTTTTTTATGTTCGGGTACTGTTCAATTTTTTTTTTCTTTTGTTTCAAGTTCACCTCTTTTTTTTCTTTCTTTCGAATACTGTTCATTTTTTTTTCCGTTCTTTTGTTTTAAGTTGTTGTGAATACATGTTTTTTTTCTTTTTTTTTTCCATTAAGTTTGGTTTCTTTTTAATTTTTTTTTTAAATTTTTAGGTTATTTTGTTTTGATCTTTAAGGTTCTTTTTTTATTTAATTCTTTTAAAAAATTTTCAGATTATTTATTTTGATTTCTCGGGTTCTTTATTTATTTAAAATTTTAAATTATTTCATTTTCGTCTCTAAAATTTTAAAATAAAAATTTTAATAATCTATCCGATGCATTTTCTTTTCTTTTTTTTTCTTTGTTTTTTTCATAAATTTATGTTCTTTTTTATTTAATTAGGTGTTAACATTTTAAAAAATCAATCGTTTTTTTTCACAAAAACTAACGATTATATAACACTACTCATGTCTTTTTTTTTCCTAACAATTTATGTTTTTTATTTAATTAGGTGTTAAAATTTTGAAAAATCAATCGTTACTGTTTTTCACACAAACTGAAAATTATATAATATATATGATATTTTTTACATTTATACGATACGTTTGTAGATTTTATAATAAATATAAATTATTTTTATTGTATAGAATTGATTTTTTTTATAAAAATTCTCATCAAGTTAATTTTAATTTTTATTTTTTTATAATTTTATTTATTAATAAATATGACTTATTTTCTTTATGTATGAATTTGAATAAGTTTTTTTAATACCTGTTTTTATTTACTTTATTCTTATATAATCAAATTTTAAAAATTGAATATATGTATTTTTTTTAGCATAATCAAATTTTATCAAAATTGATTTTATAGTTTTTATTGCACTCTATTAACTTTAATATATATTAACAACTTAACCATTTTATAGAAATGGTTGAGGAGCGACCACTAATTTAATTTTTAAATTATTTTTTAATTTATTTTATATGTTTTCATCTATTTAGTACGGTCATGATGTATCAAAAATAATAACACTAGAGTCATTGATTTTATTAAAAATTAACTATGCATCTACACACACAATACCAACTATTTGTTATTATTATTTTTTTTCATATTGATAATGATTTTTTCCAAATAAAATAATTAAAATAATATTTTAGAATAACTCGCTTAATAATTCAAATACAATTTTGTATACTAATATTATTCATTATTTTGTGAATAAATATTTATAAATCAAATGTATATATTTTAAAAAAATAATCTTCTCATCAATTAAAAGTTTAATTTGTTAATTTTCATATAAGTTTTTATATTAATTGTTATTTTATTTTTTTTATGCAATATTATATATTATCAAACTTAAATAAATATGTTTAGTTTTGTTCGCGAGCATAGCGTAAGAATCCGAAATATTCATATGTTTAAGATTCTTATTCACTAATTATTCATATGCATAAAATTACTATTCACTTGATAGCAATTTAAGTAATTTTTGTGTGTCTTTTTTTTGTGTTTTTTTTTGTACTAATATGCAAATTTAACACTTTTTTTTTATTTTTCATCCCTCATGTTGTAACATTTTTTTTCAATCCTTAGTTTTCATTTTTCTTTTATTTTCACACAACATACACACACGCACACACACTATCTTTTAATATTTTAAAATTAACATATATGTAAGCTTATATTACTCTTATAATTTAAATTTCATCATTTGAATTTATCACTTTTTTTATGAAAATTCTCATTCAATTAATATTTTTATATAATATTATATTTACTGATAAATATAATTTATTTTTCTCTATGTTTGAATTTTAGAATAAATTTTTAAAACATGATTTTTTTTCTTTTGTAAAAAATAAATTAGTATAATATATATTATGAATTCTTAGAATTTTTAAATGATAGTTGCACATATATAAATATATAATTATTTTATTCTAACAGATTAAAAGCGTATTTCAAATAATTTGTCTCAATTCACTAGTTATAGTCAAGACATATAAAAAAATTATTGAATCGTTAATTTTATTAAAAATTAACTATACATCTTTTAACATAATAGAAATATGTTCTATGAATATTTTTTTAACATTATATAAAAAAATTATTTTTAATAAAATAATTAAAATAATTTTTTAAATGAACCAACTAATTATTCAAATATAGTTTGTTATGCTAATTTTGTTGATTAGTTTGTAAATAAACATATATAAATCTAATGTATATAATTTTTAAAAATAATCTTCTCACCAACATTAAATAAGAATAAATTTATATTTTTTCATTGGTTAATTTTTATGCAAGTCTATACGTTAATTGTGACTTTATGTTTTGGATGCATTCTTAAATAAATATAAAGTTTTAAAGTATTTACTTTTGAATTCTTGATTAATATTTCAAGTTTAAATTATTACAAGTTTTGATTTAAGAATTTTTACATAAAGAAGAATAAATCATTTTTTTTCATCAAAAAATTTATGAAAAGAAAAAATAATTGTAATAATTAAATAAAAAATAATGAACAAATTTTTAAATTTTTAAATGATTTTGTTCTATCTCGCACGTAACATTGCACATATAATTTTAAAAATTAATCTTCTCATTAGAATTAAATAAGATTTTTTTTTCATTTGCGATTTTTTTTTATAAATTTATTTTTTGGAATAAAATGTTATGAAAATTATATTTTTAAACTTTTTTTAATTCTTGATTAATATTTTAGTTAAAATTATGATATATATATTTTTTATTTTAAAATCAATCCATAAAGAAGAATGAATTATGTTTTTTTATAAACGAAAAATTTATTAAAAACATTAAAAATTTTAATTAAATAAAAAATTATAATAAAAAATTTTAAAATTTTAAAATGATTTTTTTTTCTACTGGACCTGCAGCATAACGCAGAAAAGCAACTAATACATCACTACACAAGTATCATAACACATGAACATGATTCACATAATAACACATGAAAACACTGGATTTTATTTTAGTCTATGTGTATGCTGATTAAACCATGGATCTTCATTCATCAATCTCCTAGATGATCAGACATGACTGCACGACCCAGGCTGTTTCGTACTAAAAAGGACACAGCTACGTCCATCAGTACAATCGCTATTATAATGGCATTGATTGTAGCAACTGCCTAACTTACGCTCAATGACAAGTTCACCTGGCATCATGGTTTGATCATCAACCCAGATAGCATCCAAGATGAAAGGATATGGCATTCTTGCAAAACTAGACTGTGCCAAGGTTAGTGCAAGCACCATGGCTACTACCACCACCAAACCGATCTTCTTGCTCTCCATTATCGATTTTTCTTGTCTTAGTGTTAATGAAATGTTTTGGTGCGTTGTCTAGGTATCTCCCAACTGCATTTTATAGCAATGGCACGCTGTGTTATTGTGACTAAAAAAGAAAAAAAGTAGCATTGTTTTTATTATTTTATATGGGAACACAATATTTCTGCTTAATTTAAAGACTCGAGGCGTCCAGGGAGTCATTTTAACAGCGAATAGAGTGAGATACGAATCAAACAAAAAATAGCATATGAATGAAGAAGAAACACATCACTGTAATTTGATCAAGCCGATGCACTCTTGGAGCAGCTAACAGTGGTTTTGTACGGGTACACTAACAGGGGACTGATTGATGATCTAGAATTAATTTATCTGCAACCTTACATGTAAATGCAATCATTTGCAATGCTCAAATGAGTTAATAATCACACCTCACTCTCATTACGTTGCTAATGAGATGCAGTAGAAATGAAAGAGAGGGAGAGACCTGCGCAGAAACAATTGCTAAGCCTATCCATTAGCTCAAAACTCCCACTTGGGTGTTTTGGGAGGTCCTGGTATCAAGTCAGACAAATACACATATAATTTGTCAGAAAAGATTTGTGGTAACTTGTAACCTCAAAACCATAAGATGGGAATCAAAGAATGAGTTTTTGGTCATAGAACCTGCCTCTTCCCAGTCACGGTTTAGAAACACATCAGCAGTAACTCCAGCTTCTAGCATGAGTAAGAATACAAATAACATATACTGAATCCTGTTAAGGTCGAAATTCGCCAAAAAGGTTATGCATTCTAAAAGCTCCATGGGACCAAAACTAGTGCTTTTCAAGAAGTAATGAACAACCATTAAAACAGAATTGATTTTTCTGAGTTCAGAATCTTACTAGCTCAACACACCCGCACGTTGCCATTGCTATGTGTAAATTTATTATATCTATGTTTTAATATTTTAAATAATTTAAAAATATAAACGTAAAATAAAAATTAATTAACACTCATTATAAAATAATATATATATATATATATATATATATAGATAATTGAATTTAAATATTTCTTAGGAAAATTTTTTATTTTGACAGATAAAAAATATTATTTATTTTTAAAAAAATCAAATTAGGAGGTGTTTAATCCATTTATATTAGAAGAATATTTAATTTTAGTTCATGAATATTTATAAAAATAGAAAAAGTAACCATTGATCATGGAAAAAACAATTATTTTGATTAAATAATAATTAATGAAAAAAATCCAGTCCGAAAAAAAATTATAGGGACCTTTTGATAATATTAATTAACATTAGAAACTGTTTTATATAAAGTAATAACTTATAAGATCAAAATGTCAAATCTTGTAAAATTGACAAAAAGTCACTGATTTTTTTTTTATGAAAACAATGTCGTTTTAGTTTCACTGTCACAGAGATTTAGCTACAATAAAACTTCATCCACTTTTTAGTATATGTATAATTCCCCACGGGTATAATTAAATCATATAGGGAGTTCAATGGAAGTCAAACTGAACTTTATGGTGCTGATCAGATGCTAAAAAGTAATATATGCTATATAAACCAATATTTATTAGTAACATTAAACAAAGTGAATAAGAAAGCAGAGAATATAGATACCCATTTAACTGATTCGAGTAAAGGATACTAGATAAAGACAGCAACCATTTGCAGCTTCAGAAGCAATATGACTGAAACATTGGATCAAGGACAAAGCGACAAACCTGTATTCTATGAATACGTTGTTTTAAAGACAAAAAACATAAAACAAAAAACCCACAAATTTCCAAAAAACAAGAAAGAAAAGCATACCATGGATGAAAGTCTTCATCCTCGTCAAAAAATGGAAAATCACCCATTTCTCTCTGCCACACTCTAATGAGCCAAACTGCATACAACACCATTGCTATGCCAACCACTCCTACAACACAATTCACTAACTTTAATATTGATTGTATGCAACTCCTCATGACTCTCATCATTTTTTATTTTTTCTCTTCTGTTATTGCCACTAAAACCCCAAACCAAATGGACTAATTTCACCAATTAGAAAAGAAAATAAGAAACCCCAAGATTTTAAGGGCTTAGTTACTCGAGGAATCAGATGATTTTTGTATTTTTGGTCTTTAAGATTTTAGCTTCGATCCATGTTGTGAAGGTAGAACTTCCCGTATTTTAAGGGAATGATTAGCTAAAAATATCACTATCGTAATGAGTTATGTATATTTATTTGACATTCTTTGGTGTAAAGTTTCTATGGTGTGGTGGATATGACGTTAGCCTCACACAATAAAGGTCACCGGTTCGATCTTGCATAAATTCTTTTTTTCGTTTTGTTTTTTTACATGATTTTGTAGTAGGTTAATCACACTTTTTTTGGATTTTTTTTTACTTGATTTTGAAGTTGGGTAATCATTTCCAAAGTTGGTTTTGAAATATCAATCTTGATAATTGAAAGTGGGTATGCTTCTCATCTGGTTAGCTATAATTTAATTTAAAAACTAACACATGAGAAAATATTTAAAGAGAAATTAAGAAAATATTTAGGAAAAAAAAATAGATAAACAAAAAAATTTAAAAACAAAAGTACATCAAGAAACTACAAAAAGTAGAAAGAAAAAATATGAGATTAAATCGATTTTAAAATATTAGGATTGAACTAACATGATACCTTCATATTTACAATTACTTAACAAAAGTTCAATCTGCAAATAAAAAAGTACAAATTATTATTAGATGCAATCATAAAAAACTCGAAGTCATTAACTACAATTAATAACTGAACACAAACATATGGTCTAGGTTTGTCTTGATCATCTCAACACCTTGCGAGGAAAACAACTTAACCACTTTTTAATAGTTCAACAAAAAGAGAATTTAAGGGTAGTTTCTTTCAATCCAAGCACAATTAGTGAATTCCTTAACACCACGAGGTATCCCGCTTGAATAATCTCCATAAAAGGAATGATACTTTCTTGTAGCAAGTGAGTAGAATATGCAGCTGTTGTTCAGAATCTTTGGAAAGTAAATCTTATTTCCAATTGCTCTCTCCATAGCTGGTGCTGAAAAGGAACCTCCATAACTAATGTAGAGCCTTTTATTGCTCAGCTTCTGCAATGGTCGACACACCATTTTCTTTGATATATTTATTCCCTTGACAAAAATGCTCTGCTCTCCGTCAGTCACAAATACAATCAACAGTTCTCCATTACTTTGTACCAAGAAATTTCGGTAAAGTGAATTAAGCTGAGTTTGAGTAAGGGATAACCCATGTATGGAAAACTTATTGCTTTTGAGATCAAATACTCTTATATCTCCCCTAAGAAATAACATCTCCCTTTATAAATCACAGGAGGAGAATGAGACAGGTTGAAACTTTGAGAATATAAATGACTAGGGATCGAATGAAGACTCCAACGCGTTTCTCCGACCTTAATTACTGAAATTTCAATCCCTGGCCATGAAACTCCAAACACATAGCAATTTGAACAAGTTGGAAGAGACGAAAAACACATTGTGGTGATATCATGTCTTGGACCAAGTTTTGGAAGTGTTATTTTCTCTCTTGAAAAAGGATTGTAAAAGAAGACATCACCATCTTTTCGACATAAAAGCAGCCAACTTTGCTTTGAAAAGTGGATAATTGCATCGGATAATTCAGGAATGTTCATCTGAAAAGCATGGTCAAGTACTGGGTGGAAGAATTTGCACGTATGGTCCTTTAATGACATCAAATATGGATGATTATTATGAGGTAATAATAGATCAAATGGAGGTGGTGGGAGTGGAGCAATAGAATCCAATACCAATCCCCAGGTTTTGCAAGTCAAACGGATGGTGCCAATTGCATCTGGATCAATGGCAAAGAGATAGGATGATACTAAACCCAGTAGGTCTACTGGAAGTTCAGACCATGGCCGCTTTTTTCTTCCTTCTGTTCTACGTCTTCTTTTGATTCTCTGACAACAATTTCTGCCATCTTTACTGATGATCGATCACCTGTTTTATATTCCTGCAAAACAACCTACAAAGGATAAAGCTTAATTGGGGGACAGTGTTTCCTTGAACAATCGTAAAATAAGAACAAGGTCAAAATAGTTGAGAGGATCAGAAAAAGGGCAAAAGACATATAAGAAAAGATAGGGCAGTGACACGGATTAATTGGCAATCACTACACTAAAAGAATTCTACACCTCATAGAGTTCGGTTTCCACCTCTTAAAGGATAAAACCTCGCATACCAATACCAATTCTTACGGAATTAGTAATCCAAGTTATAGTAAAGGAAAAAAAGAAAACTTTGATTGCATAAAATAATAATAATGATGATGACGTGTGTTTTATGATTTATTTCCCGCGCAAGCATTTTGTTGAGTAAATTATAAATTAGTCCTTCTAGTTTCAAGAAACAATTTAATTAGTCTCCCTTGTTTCAAACATTTTTATTTAATCCTTTAATCAGTGTTGATCATGTTTAATTTAATATTATTTTTATTCTATAAAATCTTTATTTTCTCATCAATCTTTCCATAAATTTTCAAGCTTAAAATTCTAACATAAAAAAAATTATAATATCATATGCATTTTTACAAGCTTGAAATAAATAACAATATAAATTCTGTTAGTTTCTTCATCGACCAAAAGTTTCTCAACAATTTTTCATGTGAAAAAATTAATATTTTATAGTACATCAATATCTTTTTAAAAAATAAATAACAATAAAATTGAGATTAAAAAATTAGTAAGATAAATCTTAAAAATAATACATACTTTTTACTCCAATTAGATTAAATTTTAGAGACAACACGAATAGGAAAAAATCAAATTCAAAACCTTATTAAATATTAGTAAGATTGATCTTAAAATATCACATACTTTCTTTCTTAGTGATACCCCTTCCCCAATTTTTACATGATTGTGGAAGGTTAAACATTTGAACTAAAAAGTGTGAACTTAGCATCTAACTTTTGCATTATTATGATACCCTAACTTTTACATGATTGTGGAAGGTTAAACATTCTACCATCATGATTTATATGTTTATAAGCTCCAAATTACTCCAAGCTAGAAATAAAAGAAATTTACTAAAAGAACTCAAGTTTAATCTACCTTAGATTTCGTCCCCTGCTACATTATATATATGACAAATGCAAGGTAAAAGAAATGTTTCTTACTCTTCCCAAAATTATATTTTATCATCATGTTTATGCTTTTGGCTTTAATTATTATTATTATTATTTTCATATTTTAAAAGAAGCTTGATCAAGATATAGCTGCACAGATCGCTGAAGGTGCACAAGATGCAAAAAAATACAGCAAAAAAAACCAGAAAGGCAAAAAAATAGTGTCTTAATAACAAATGATTGTCCAAGTAATAAAATTAAGAGACTCTATGTTAATTTAATGATAACTGCAATAAAAATTAATATTTGATGTAATAATTTAAATGTGATCTTTCATTTTATTATTTTTTTATATCCCACATCACATGGGAGTTCTAAACGGAAGTCCTAAACCAATCATTAGGAAAGAAATCCTACTCGGACTAAAACTATATATTTTTTATTGTTAGGAAGTCATATATGGATTGATATGGGATTTTAAATCCAAGTTAGAGTTGGAATTAGAATCTATACACTCGGATCACACCTATAGTTACCACTTGAAGCAGTCAAATACGAAGCAGATCAGGCGGTCTTGCCCTGCTTTATCTTTTCCTATAGGAATCACAAACCAAAAAGTTGTAAAGATATTAGGCCCACTTGAAAGATCAGCACGCCCTCTCCATTAACCAGAAGCAAACTTCCTTTTCAAATTTAATACACATGCACTTCAAAAATTCAGGGAAGCAAAGAAGATGCAGATATTGAAGCAAACCATAAGACTATCATAGCGCTTTCCAAACAATTGAAATTCAGTACTCAACTTTCTAAAACTCCTCTTTGGCCAGCTTTCCCTCTCCCCAAACATATCCAATTACACACAACACCATTGCTATACCAACCATTCCTACAACACAATTCACTAACTTTAATATTGACTGTATGCAGCTCCTCATGACACTCACCATTTTTTCCTTTTCTCGTGTGTTATTGCTACTAAAACCCCAAGCCCAATTGACTAATTTCACTAATTAGAAAAGAAAATAAGAAATCCCAAGAATGCTTAATTACTAGAGGAATCAAATGATTTTTGCATTTTTGGTCTTTTAAGGTTTTAGCTTCGATCGATATTATGTAGGTTTCTCTCCGTGTTTTAAGAGAAAGCTAAAAATATCACAATTTGCATTGATTAAATATATTAATTTGACCAGTAAGCACACAAATTTCTGTATAGTAGCGGTTATCTCGTTAGTTTTTAATACTCGAAGTGACCAGTTAGATCTTCTGCAGCAATATTCTATCTTACAAAAAATTTTTGCACGTGAGAAAATATTCTTTTTTTTTTTTTTTCAAAGAATAAATTACTAAGAACACACACTCTATAGTTAAATGACAGAAACACTTTACACTCTTATTTTTTTTTATAGATTACACTTTATACCCTATGTATTTATTTTATTAAAAAAAAAACTCGATATTTTCATTCCATTATGAGTCTCAAATTTTCGTGAAAAAAAAACATTCAAATTACTATAAAATTATAAAAAAAAATTATGAGCGATCCTCCCTTTCTCTGAGCTGGCAAAAGATGAAAGAAAAATAATGAATTTTGGTCCTCTAATTTCTAGAGTTTTTCATTGCGTAATCTTTTATAAATCCTCCCTTTTTACCATTAATCACCTTAAACTCTTCCTTTCAAGTTTTTTCTAACAATTTTTTTACTCCTAAAGTTCATACATAATTTAATTTGAGAGTTTAAACTTTGAATTTTATGCAATTAAGTTTCTAATTTTATGCAATTGAGTCTCTAATCCTAAAATGCCATTCCATACCTTTCCAAAATTCAAATTCTTTTTATAATAAATTCAAAAAATTTCAAAAAGAATTTAATCATCATTCACATAATTTTTATACATTTATTTAGGCCTTCAAATTAATTATCTAGTGAGAAATTACACTATTTTCTATAGAAAATATTCCTTATACATAGAAAAATTTATCTAAATTTAGTAAATATTCATACACATCCTAAATGATTTTTATATAACATTTGGATAATTTTCTTATATCTTTAAAGCTCCTAAATTAATTAATTTACCTTAAAAATACTTATTATGCACAATAAAATTCAAGTAAAATATTCACAGAATATCGGAAAATTCGTCCAAGAGTATAGAATAATCTAATACCCTCTAAGAAATATTCTATACAAACAAAACATTTTTCATGCACATACAACATGTCTAAAATAATTCTATCATACAAAAAGTCACTATTCATTCATCATAAAATCAATAAAATATTCATTGAGTATGGAAAAATATTTTAATTGCTCTGAATATTTTTTTAACCTTTTGTGGACTATTCCATGCCTCAAAAAAATTTTCATATACCTTTAATATCCTTAATTTTTTTAAATAATGCTTTTAACGGAAATTGGGTGTTACATAAACCATGAGAAAGAGAAAAACAAAAACCTTCTTTTTTATTCTCGAAATCCATAAAGTAATTGACGAGAAAGATCCCAACTTTAAAAGCCAAACAAACCAGACCAAACCAAATAAAATAAAAGCTTTCGGTTCACCACCTACTTATTCCGCTCTTCTTCTTCTTTTTTTCCCCCCGACAAATTCATTTCTTATATTTATCTTCATCCTTTAACCATGAGACAATGTTCATACATTTTGATAAAAAATTTAGTTTAAGAAAGAGTTTTTTTGTGACAGAAGAGTAGCTAAATTTGATTTCTCAAGCAGATGCCGAGTTCTAAACTAACGTCCTAAACCAATTAGCAAAGAAATCCTACTCGGACTAAAACTATATATATTATACCTAATCCAATGACTCTGTTAAGAAGTCTTATATAGATTGAATTGACTAATCCTGATTGATGTGGGATTTTAAACCCAAGTTATAGTTGGAATTAAGAGTATATATACTCGATCGGTTGACACCTATAGTTAGGACTTGAAGCAGTCAAATCCGAAGCAGATCAGGTGCTTTTGCCCTTTCTTTTCTTTTCCTTGAGAGGTAAAGAAATTCTTGGGTACTGTTTTGAATCGCTCTTGCTCTTTTTCTGCGATCTAATTCCATACAATAAACGATTTAGTATTTTTGCTTTGCAATTTGAATTATTATTGTTGTTTTGCTATTCTTGTGTTTCATGATGCCAAATTAAGTTTTGATTGACAGATAGTTCAAAAAGTCATGGAAACTCAGTCTTATCCTTGGCTGGTCATGCGTCGTGAGAGTGATGGGCAACGGTGTACCTTTTACAGTATATCAAAAAACAGATATTACACAAAAGTGATTCCAAGTATGCAAAATAAAGAAATATGCACTTGCTCTTATGGATGGTTGGTGTTGAGATATCTCACTTCAAAAGATTGTCACCTTTTGAATCCCTTCTCTATGGACGAGATTCAACTTCCTCGATTGGAAAACAACTACGAGTGTTGTGTTTTATCATCATCGCCAAGCGACTCAGATTGCTATATTCTATTCAATACTTATGATGATGATCAGGAAAAAATTGTTATGTTTTACCAACCAGATGGAGATGACAAATTTATTAAAAAGGAAATCGACGTTGGTTTTGAGTTTGACTTTTTAACAGCAATAATGATTGAAGGGAAGTTATATGGTTTCAGACTTCGACATAGTTTGGTTTGTTTTAGTTTCAAGGGTATTGAACTTGAGCCCAAGAGTGTGTTAATGGAGGAATTTGCTTGGCCATCCAATCGAAATATATACCGTTTTCGGAACTATCTGGTAGAGGCTTGTGGCGAGCTCTTACTTGTACACAAGATGTTATTTGGATTGGACTTGGCAGAGGTGCGTGGCTTTTTGGTGTTTCGATTTGATTTTTCAGAAAACAAATGGGTGAAAACGAACAACCTCAAAGGATGCACCATCTTTCTTTCCGAGAGAAGAGGCATGGCTTGCTCTGCAGCAGAATTGGGTGTTAAACAAAACTCAATCTACTTTATACAACCATCAGACACATGCCTTCGCGTTTTTGACTTGGAGGATGATACTTTTTCATTAACTTTGCCTTGTCCCACAATAAGCTGTGATGCGGAATTCGATTGGATTACTATCTTGCAAGAGACAAGAACAAAATATCCTACCAAAATTTAACTTCGATACTATGTTTAACTTGCTCTTTGTATGTTTCAGATGTCTTAATTTAATATGTTTTATATTGGATCAAGGAAATACAAAGGCATGGACTCCATTGAAAAAGCTTAAGTTTTGAGTCCAAATTTTGATTATACATCACTACACAAGCATCATAACACATGAACATGATTCACAAAATAACACATGAAAACACTGGATTTTATTAGTATTTGTATATGCTGATTAAACCATGGATCTTCATTCATCGATCTCTTAGATGATCAGACATGGCTGCACGACCCAGGCTGTTTCGTACTAAAACGGACACAGCTACATCCATCAGTACAATCGCTATTATAATAGCATTGCTATCATGGTTTGGTCATATACCCAGACAGCATCCAAGATGAAAGGATATGGCATTCTTGCAAAGTTAGACTGTGCCAAGGTTAGTGCAAGCACCATGGCTACCACCACCATCAAACTGATCTTGTTGCTCTCCATTGTTGATTTTTCTTCTCTTAGTGCTAATGAAATGTTTTGGGGTGTTGTATAGGTATCTCCCAACTGCATTTTACAGCAATGAGATGCTGTGTTATTGTGATTAAAAAAGAAAAAAGTAGCATTGTTATTATTATTTTATATGGGAATACAATATTTCTGCTTAATTTAAAAACTCTGAGGCATCCAGGGAATCATTTTAACAGGGAATAGAGTGAGATACGAATCCAACAAAAAATAGCATATGAATGAAGAAGAAACACATCACTTTGTAATTTGATCAAGCCGATGCACTCTTGGAACAGCTAACAGTGGTTTTGTAAGGGTACACTAACAGGGGGACTGATTGATGATCTAGAATTAATTTATCTGCAACCTTACATGTAAATGCAATGATTTGTAATACTCAAATGAGTTAATTATCACACCTCACTCTCATTAAGTTGCCAATGAGATTTAATGGAAATGGGAGAGAGGGAGAGGGAGTGGGAGAGACCTGCACAGACACAATTGATAAGCCTATCCATTTGCAGAGCTCAAAGTTTTATCTAATGAAACCTTTGATCTGATCAAAACTCCCACTTGGGTCTTTTGGGAAGTCCTGGTGCCAAGTCAGACAAATACACATATAATTTGTCAGAAAGGATTTGTGGTAACTTGTAACCTCAAAACCATAAGATCAGAATCAAAGAATGAGTTTTTGATCATAGAACCTGCCTCTTCCCAGTCACGGTTTAAAAACACATCAGCAGTAACTCCAGCTTCTAGCATGAGGAGTCAAGAATACAAATAACATATACTGAATCCTGTTAAGGTCGAAATTCATCATAAAGGTCATCCTTCTAAGAAACTAAAGCTCCGTGGAATCAAAACTTGTGCTTCTCAAGAAGTAATGAACAACCATAAAAACAGAATTGATTTTTCTGAGTTCAGAATCTTATTCACCACTGCTATAATTTAACCAGATAGGGAGTTCAATGGAAGTCAAACTGAACTTATGATGCTGATCAGATGCTAAAAAGTAACGTGTGGGGGTATAAACCAATATTTATTAGTAAAATTAAACAAAGAGAATAAGAAAGCAGAGAATGTAGATACCCATTTAACTGATTCGAATAAAGGATACTAGATAAAGGCAGCAACCATTTGCAGCTTCAGAAGCAATATGACTAGAACATTGGATCAAGGACAAAGTGACAAACCTGTATTTTATGAATACGTTGTTTTAAAGACAAAAAACATAAAACAAAAAACCCACAAATTTCTAAAAAACAAGAAAGAAAAGCATACCATGGAGGAAAGTCGTCATCATCATCAAAAAATGGAAAATCACCCATTTCTCTCTGCCACACTCTAATGAGCCAAACTGCATACAACAAAGTTGCTATACCAACCACTCCTACAACACAATTCACTAACTTTAATATTGATTGTATGCAACTCCTCATGAATCTCATCATTTTTTCTTTTTCTCTTCTGTTATTGCTACTAAAACCCCAAACCAAATGGACTGATTTCACCAATTAGAAAATAAAATAAGAAACCCCAGGTTTTTAAGGGCTTAATTACTCGAGGAATCAGATGACTTTTGTATTTTTGGTCTTTCAGATTTTAGCTTCGATCCATGTTGTGAAGGTAGAACTTTCCGTATTTTAAGGGAATGATTAGCTAAAAATATCACTATTGTAATTGTTTATCTATATTTATTTGATTTTTTCCGGCGCAAAGTTTCTGTGGTGTGGTGGATATCACGTTAGCCTTACAGAATAAAGGTGACCGGTTCGATCTTGCACAATTTTTTTTATTTTTTTACATGATTTTGTAGTAGGTTCATACTTTTTTTTGGATTTTTTTTTACTTGATTTTGAAGTTGGGAATCATTTCCAAAGTTGGTTTTGAAACATCAATCTTGATAATTGAAAGTGGGTATGCTTCTCATCTGGTTAGCTATAATTTAATTTCAAAACTAACACACGAGAAAATATTCAAAGAGTACTTAAGAAAATATTTAGGAAAAAAAAACTAGATAAACAAAAAATTTTAAAAAAAAGTACAGCAAGAAACTATAAAAAGTAGAAAGACAAGATATGAATAAGATCGATAATGGAATTTAAAATATTAGGATTGAACTAACATGATACCTTCATATTTACAATTACTTAACAAAAGTTCAATCCGCAAATAAAAAAGTACAAATTATTATTAGATGCAATGATAGAAAACTCGAAGTCATCAACTACAATTAATAACTGAACACAAACATATGGTCTAGGTTTGTCTTAATCATCTCAACACCTTGCGAGGAAAACAACTTAACCACTTTTTAATAATTTATTCTTACAATCATTGAAAATACAGTACATATAATAATATTCCAGTCCTTAGAGGAGAGGAAGAAATCCAGGCATGCATCTTTTGAACTTTGAAGTGATAGCTAGGTAGCTATTTATCTACTCTTCCTGCGAGCAGCGCGGCGCAGCGCGCTGCTTCCTTTTCTTATTACTATCTTGGCACCAATTGAAAATATAAAGTAAGTGACATATATGCAACATATAGCAATGGCTTCCGTAGTTTTCTTGGTCGAAAATGGTAGAAGAAACAGGCTGAGGTAAAGCAGACTCTGAATAGCGATAAAGGATATGGCCAACACGGCAGTGAGAAAAGCTAGCCATGCATATTCAAGATTCGCTAGTGCTATGATCACAGCAAACAAGAAAGCAAGGCTCATAAAGTAAATGGACACACCAACCAACGTTGATGAAATCCAAACAGCTAAGGGTGAAATTTGGATATATACCAATTGTGTAGCGCTGATGAGTATAGCTGCCACCAAGGAGGTATTCAGAGCCCACACATCAGAATAAAGGTAGAGGCTAAATATAAAAGAGCTAGAACTGCATTTGCTATGACGATGGCCATCAGCGCTACCACATATTTGTGGCGATTGGACAGCACCAGCAAAGGCTACCCCAGCAACAAGTACTGCTATCACAAGAAGATTGTTCATTCTGCTCCTCGTTTCCTCTTGGATTTGACGTTTGGGTTCCATGCTAGTTGAATACTTGTCCAGGCTTTTCTTAGGGTCGGCGTAGAAGTATAAGATCGATAATGCTGCCATCTGAGTTACAAAAGCATAAATTAATTATTCTTAATTTATTAATGAGGCCTCAAAAATATGAATGCAACTTTAGCTGGTTTTTTTTTAATTTATTTTTTAAGTTTTATTTTCCGAAACGAAACTAAATTATAAATGATATGAAAGTTTATTAATTATAATTATAACTTAGTCTCAATAGTTTAATGAAATTAATAAATGAGTCCTTGTGGTTTCATATACCACTTTTTAATTCCCATACTTTTCCTTCTTTTTTTTTTATCATAACTTAATCCTTTTGTCAATTCCGTGATCTATTTCGATTTGCTTTTTATTTTTGAAAAATAGAAAAAGAAAAGAGAAGTAGGCGAAAGACATTGAAAATTTTGATCAGGAAAAGAAAGTGTTTTGACAAAAAAAAAAAAAGAAAAAAGAAAAAAAAGGACGACAACAACTAAACTGTGGATGATAACCTTAGTAAAAGGACAACTATATATATTTAATTATTTTTTTCTTACTATAAAAATTGATTATTAGTTTCCATAAATTATGAAGATTAAATTATACTAAATTATAATTAATTAACTCCAAATACAAAAATATATCACACATACCACGTTAATGTATTTACGCACTTGGGTTCTGATTGGGTATGCCTTTTCATGTTGCTTTTCTAGATCATCCTCGTCAGGTAACATTAGATAATTATTCGTGCTACGCTGCAAAACAAACACAATAAATAAAATTATTTGAAAAAAACATTATAATTTGATGATCTTCGCCATGTTATAAATATGTTAAAATACATTGAAATTAAATACGAAAAAATATTCACCTAGCTAACTTTATAATTTTTTTAATTTAAATTTTGTATTTAGTTAATTCTTTCTTATGTTTTTCCAAACGATTTCCTTCTTAAAAAACATGATTTTTTTTTCATACATGAATTCTTAAATAAACATTTATAATTTTGGCCACAAATAATTTTTTAAAAAATATCTTTTTTTTATCATCCATATTTTTATATTTTTACTTATTTTTTTATTTTTTTCTATTTTTTAAATCAGAATAAATTAAAAAACAACAAAAATTACTAAAATATTAGTTTTTGAAACCAAATGGACTAATCAATTCATTTTATGAAGCAACAAGGACTAATTTATAATTTACTAGTGAATAGCAATTGATGAAAATAAGGAGGGAAAAAAAAAAAAAAAAAGCAATCAGGGCAGGAAGAAAAGGAAATGATGGAAAAAGGGTCAAAGAAAAAAAATTAAAAGAAGAATTCAGTCAAAGGCAAGGGTGTAATATCGAGTGGCAATGATGAAATTAAGAGTAAAGAAAAGAACATTTATAATGCAAAGAAAAAAAGAAACAGATCAGTCTACAATAAAATGAAAGAAGGTGAACAGCACCCAACAGTAAATATTTTATGTGCTTTAATTTTTTATTTATATATATATATTTTTTTGTGTAATATGTTGTAAAGTGAGGCCAAGAGAATTTTTTTTCTTTTTCAAGAAAAGTCATACTATTTATTTATCAACTTTCGAAACGATAGATATTACAGGACTCATACCTTGGCTGAGTCCACCGCGGTTTCAGTGTCCTTGCAATCCTGAACAGCAACCTAGCAACTCAGAGGAATCACACAGAAACCAAAGAAAGACTAGATATCTTACAAGAAATCTTGATATAAGCTTTTTACATGGTGGTTAATGTATGACCATACCTTTTGGACGTCTGGTTTTTGAGTTTGTTCCTCAACCAATGATTTTAGTTGGTTGTCTGCAATATCATAAAATGTCAAGTTCTCATTGTTAACAATATTTTTATCAAGAGCCTTGTTGATAACTAGAATAAACACAATCCAAGGATGGCCGTGCTTCGCTGCCAAATGCAAGGGTGTGTTTCCTTCTTCATCTATCCCATTAAGAAGAAGGCCTTTTTGATAGAGATCTAGACCCGGATTTTGGAGTATATACTGCACCAATTTACTTTGTCCGTTTTCCGCAGCAACATGAAGGATGTTCTGCCTTTTTTGATTGAGAAATTCCATTGGATCAGGCCATTGCTCAAGCAATTCTTCTACTACTTCAACATGGCCGCTTTTGCATGCAACATGGATAGGTAAGTCACCTTCTTGATTGCTTTCAACAGCACTAAGTTCCTTTTCCTTCAACAGGAACTGAACTACTTTAAGATTACCTAGGTATGATGCAAAATGAAGTGGGTTTCCCAACTCCTTGTCAAGAAAATGGAGCAGCTCTGGCTTCTTCTCTGCAATTCTTCTCAGTAAATCTGAAATTCAGATAAACAAAAAAAGTTGAAACAAATATGTCATTTTAGCTCTTAGGCCCAGTATCATTTAATTTGACAGTAACTATTGTCATCACCTATGTTTTTTAGCTGTGGACACGTGATCCCAGACTTTACTCCAAACGTATGATGGAGCAAAAATTATGAATACAATTCCTCGTATTTAGCTGTGGTTGTTTATATTAAGAAATAAATTGCAGCAAATTGATGTATTTTAACTAAAGAAACCATTAAAAATACCCAAAAAAAAAAAAAATCAAGTTTTTTTAGGTTTTATCACTAATGAATCCTAGTCTTAATTTTTTTTTTTTTAAACAATGTCAAGAATACTTAAAAAAATATATTATTAAGTGATGTGGAATTTATTTTAAGGAAAGATTTTGAAATCATGAAATGTAAACCTTATTGCATTTAGTGATGTAATGATAATTAAATAATTTATTGACTAATGAATCATCAATCATATATTACCACGTTATTTACCACGTCATTTAGTAAAACAATTTCACTACAAAATTAAGAACTCGTTCAGTAATTTTCGATTTAAAGTTTTCTTCTCCTATTCCTATGAAAAATTGGAAAATGTGTTCATTTGTTGAAAGCAGAGAAAAATCTTTTTCACCCAAAAAAAGTAAGAAATGCATCAAGATATTTTTTGTACAAAAAATCAAAACAATAATTTATAATAATCACCTATGTTTTTTAGCTGGACAGCAGCGTGTGCGGGCGACGTCTTTCCATCTAGCTTACTGAGTGAATCAGTATCTTTGGCAATGGAGTCCAAGAGAAGGTCAAGTATGACATCCTTATCGTGGTTATTCTCATCCGAGGGAGACTTCTCTGCCTTCTTGTAGCCAATATTTTCCACCGCCAGGTACAAGGGAGACTTACCTGCCTTATTCTTGAGATAGGCCACATCATGATCTGCCGAAACAAGGGATCTGGCCACAGCACAGTGACTCCTAATCACTGCATCATGCAAAGGAGTGTTTCCTTCTCTATTCTTCACCTTTAGCAAGCCAGGACCAAAGCGGACGAGAGTTTCCGTGGTGGTCAACTTTCCAGCTCTCGCAGCAAGGTGAAGCGGCGTATCGTTGATGGAGTTCAGCTTTGTGATTAGGGCAGGAAACTCTCTAGCCAGGTATTCTGAAACATTTTTGCTTCCATAACTGGCGGCCACATGAAGTATTGAATTCCCCGAAGGGGTCACTTGATCGGAAATAGCTGGAGGTGATCGTGATGGTGGTAATTGAAGGAAGGTGTTCACTTCATCATCTCTCTTTGCAGCTTCAAATAATTCATAATTCATTTGCCTACGGTGATCACCACCTATATTTATTGCTAAGTGACCCATAGAGAGCCCAAAATTGTTTCAGATGAAAAACAAGCTAACAGAAGCATAAATGTCGTCTGCTTTTATAGACCAGCCTGCAGCAGATACCTTGACACTTCTTCACCCTACTTGTTTAAAACTTATTGATTCAAAGAAAGAGAGACTGGTGAGGAACAAAAAAATTCGAAGACAACCTTGACCATGGCTAAAGCAGCTGTTACCTCATGGTTCATGGTAAAGAAAAAGAAAGGAATTGAAGTCCCAAAACTCAGAAAAGCACAGATAATTATTCGAAACTTGAATATATAATTCAAGTACACACAGTGCAGCTACATGAGAAAATTCTGATAGAAGGAACACACACGCATATATATATATATATATATATATATATATATATATATATATATATGACACCTCGATTATTGAATTTGATCAAAGCCATAACTTTGCATTAATCTCTTCAAAGTCATTGATTATTGACTTTGATCAAAGCCATAACACTGCATTAAGCTCCTCAAACTCATAGTTAATAAATCAGACTGTTTGTTGATACTCAGGCTTGCTTCTTAGTTAATCCAAGGTCTAGAAAGTTTAAGGACAATTTTATTTTATTTTATTTTATTTTATCAATGAGTTGATTTTCTTTGACATGCTTTTGACGATAAGCTTTGCCATGGATGAACCTCAAGTGAATAAAGAAACTAAAGGCAAGAGAGAACTCCTAGAACTCAAAGAGGAACCTTTAAGTATTTGCTCCTACTCATCCCCTTTGGTTCAATCACGATACACATTGTCCTTTTTCTTTTTTTGTGTCCTTACTGCTAATACCACATTAATCGTAAGAGTGAGTTATAAATCCCTCTATTTTTTTTAAAAAAAAAATTGATTTATTTTCTATGTTCGAAATATTAATTATTTAGCTTTTTGACCAAAGTTGAACATGTTTAATTTAATATTATTTTATTTTATAAAATGTCAATCTTTTTATTTTTTTCTTTTTTTATTTCTTGAAAAATAAATTCAAAATAAATGAAAATGATTAAGTTATAAGAAAATTTGAAATTATATGGAGTGAATAATTAATTTTTAATTCGTTTCTCAAAACTATAAGGAATATTTTATAATTACTCTTAATTATAATAATAAAGTACCATTACGAATTAATTTGTTTCATTAGTTATCTAACCCTTATCTTTTCTGTATATATTACGAAATAATAAGTGTTTTTTTTTTCAATTTGCCTTGTTTTACAATATCGTTGCTCATTGTTGTAATTTAAAAAATAGTCCTACTATGAAAAGAGGAGAAAAGAAGGAAACAAGATTCTGTTTTGCCGCTTTGAAGTGCGTAATAAATAATTATAAATACAGCTACATTTAAAATTTAATGATTGATAATCATAAGAATAAATTTATTAGCATGATAAAATTAATTATTTGATAATTTTAATTAATCAAATTCAACTAAAAGATATTTATATTTTATTAATTATAGAAATTGCTTGTTTTAGTATATAGATAATGATGTTGATATTGCATAAAAGTTATTTTTAAAATTGAAAAAAAAATGTTATAGACAAATAACAATTTGATTGACTATGAAAAATCAAAGGGATTAATATATGAAAATTTTAAATAGAAATAATCTCTCTTAAAAAATGGAGAAAAAATATTTTTAACATTTTTTTTTAAATGAAGAGCGAAAATAATAATAGAAAAAAATAGTCAATTGGGATGACTATTATAATTAACGGATTTGGATAAGATTTACCCAAAAACCGATATTTTGATATTCAAATTACGTAAATTAATAATAAATATTTGAAATTGTTAAATTACAATAAAACGAAAACAATTTTTGCCATTAAATCGTCAAAAGACTAATTAATTAGTTTGAAATAAGATGGAATGTTTAATTAATTTGTTTATTCACAAAACTAGATGGATTGCTTTATAATTACTCAACACTCTCTCATACTCTCATTTATTAAATTTGTAAATGTATTCTAAACATTATTTACGTTAAAAGACCATCACATCCAAAAGCTTAAACTCGTTAAGTAAGGCCACAAGATATGATTTATACTTTTCTTTAATAATTTCTTATTCCAAAGAAATCCTATTCTCTTGTAGCAATCAATTTATTCTCTTAGGTTTACTAAACTATATACAAAAATTAAAAAATTAAAATTATTCTGACGTTAACTTAGGTTAGAAAGTAATGGATTGAGTCTCCGATTGATACAAAATATGATCTGAAGATACTCTACTATTTATAAATATAAAAAAGAAAAAGAAAAAGAAAATACCCCACCTTTTGGCATAAAGAACATGTTATTCTCGTGTCAAAGAACTTGTGAACCACAAGGTTGAACACGATGATTAATTATACTTCTGCTTCTTCTTCTTACCACTAGCTTTGAGCACACAAACGTTCCAACCAAGTAGTAAAGCAAAAGCAAAAAGGAGGTAAAATCATTGAGTTAATGCTTTATATTGTTTAATTTATATTGAGACTGGTGAGGAACAAAAAAAAATTCGAAGACTACCTTGACCATGGCTAAAGCAGCTGTTACCTCATGGTATATGGTAAAGAAAAAGAAAGGAATAGAAGTCCCCAAACTCAGAAAAGCACAGATTATTATTCGAAACTTGAATATATAATTCATGTAGACACAGTGCAGCTACATGAGAAAATTCTGAAAAGGAACATTATGTATATATTACCTATAAACTAAAGGAAAATGATTTTTCACTGTAACAATAAATAATAATAATTACTATTCATTTATCACTATTTATTGCTACAGTGTTTTGGTTTTTTTTTTCTTTTTATTTTTTATTTTTTGCCAGTGCCAGAGCCTTCTTTACTTTTTTTGTCTTTCGTTTACTATTTATGTGAACAGCAAATGACTCCTCCTCTTCTTTTTTTCTTTGATCTGTACAAAGAACGCCTAAGAAACCATTTTCCACCATTAAATCTTTGGTTGTTAAATCTCATTCTCTATACGTGCATTCTCTGATTGTAGCGGATTCTTCAAAATCAATATGTCATGGGTTCTTTTTTTATTTTTTCCCTAAACATTGAATTGTTTTTTTTTTAATTTTCTTTTCTTAATAATATTGGATGTTAAAATTTTAAAGGAACCAACAATTAATTGGTTGTTAAAATTTTTTAAAAAACTAACAATTTACTTCATTTATTATTTATTTCTAAAATTTAAAATATCTAATTTTTCTTTTGGCGTGGCCATTTTTTTATTTCTGTTTTTGAAAAGTGAACAATTTTTTTTTTAATTTTTGTTTCTGAATAATGTTGGGTATTAAAATTTTAAAGGAACCAACAATTAATTGGGTGCTAAAATTTTAAAAGAACCAACAATTTATTTCTTTTATTATTTGTTTCTAAAGTTAAAAATATCTAATTTGAAAAAATAATGGTTTTTTTTCAAAAAATAATTATGTCTATAAGCACATGCATATTATATAAAATATTACTATCACATAACATAATTTATTAATTAACAATTAAATAAGATGTGTTTCTCAAAAAAAAAAAAAGTACATATATTATAATAAAGAATTTTATTGCTAATAGTTTGTCATTTATTATTATTTTCATTAATTTTTTATTTCTTTTAAATTCTCATCCAATTAATTTAAAATCATATTTACTCATAGTTATGATTTATTTTAATATTATTCATCCAATTAACAAAAATTAAATTTATATTTTTTCAACATGAAATTAAAAAAAAATTTGTTCAATTCTATGTAAGCTTTTAATAATTGTTATTTTTTTTTATACAATCTTATAAAATAATGAAGATTTTTTAAAAAAATTATTTAATTTTTTTTTAGTTAATAATCCATGGATTAACAAGAATAAATCATTTATGTAAAAAAAATAAATAAATATAAATATAAATAAAAAATAGTTAAATACAAAATTTTTTAGTAAAAAATTATAATTAGTTTTTTTTTTACCTTTGATTTCATATATTGTTATTGATTCACACCATAAAACAGATTATTAAACTGAAATAATTTTTTTAAATGATTTTATATATTTCATCCAACTCGCAAGTGTAGCGCGGGTCAAAAATCTAGCATATATATATAACACAATGTGGCCTTGATTATTGACTTCTGATAAAAGGATATATATATACACATACATGACACCTTGATTACTGACTTTGATCAAAGCCATAACTTTCCATTAAGCTCTTCAAACTCATAATTAATAAATCAGACTGTTTGTTGATACTCAGGCTTGCTTTTTAGTTAATCCAAGGTCTAGAAAGTTTAAGGACAATTTTATTTTATCAATGAGTTGATTTTCTTGGACATGCTTTTGACGACAAGCTTTGCCATGGATGAACCTCATGTGAATAAAGAAACTAAAGGCAAGAGAGAACTCAAAGAGGAACCTTTAAGTATTGCTCCTCCTCATCCCTTTTGGTTCAATCGTGATACACGTTCTCCTTTTTTTTTTTTTTTTTTGGTCCTAACTGCTGATACCACATTAATTGTAAGAGTAAATTATAAATCAATCCCTCTATTTTTAAAAATGAATTTTTTTTTTGATAAATTAACTATTTAGTTTTTTTACTAGTATTAACTGCATTAATTTAATTTAATATTAATTTATTTTATAAAAACTCATTTTTTTCTCATTAATCTTTCCTTATGTTTTTTACTTGTTTTTTCTTTTTCTATTTCTTGAAAAAAAAATCAAAATAAATTGAATAAAAGTGAAAATGATTAAGTTATAAGAAAGTTTGAAATTATATGGATTGAATAATTAATTTTTAAAACAAGGATAATTAATTATTTTTTTCTCGAAACTATAGGGACTAGTTTATAATTACTCTTAATCATAATAATAAAGTACCATTAAGATGCCTAAGAAAATATTTTTATTCGAGTTTAATCATAATTATAGTCTTTTTATTTATAAATCTATTCTTAACTTAATTATTTTACATTTTTTTTAATTTTTTCATTTTATTTTAAAAATAGAAAAAATAAGTAAAAATATGGAAGGATTAGTGAGAAAATAAGATTTTTTAAAAATAAAGTAATATTAAATTAATTATGATTAACACTAGTCAAAAGATGGTTTATAGAAAAAATTGTCCTCGTTTTATTGCAATTCGACAATTTTAGATCTTTATTATCAATTTACGTAATTTCAACCCAAAAATGATTGATTTTTGAATTAATCTTATTCAAATTCTTTAATTGTAATAGCCAACCTAGTTGACAATTAATTTTTTTTTCTACTGTAATTTTTTTTTTACTGTTAATTTAAAAAAAAAATGTTAAGAATGCCTTTCCTCTCTTTTTCAAGAGAGATTTTTTTTTCTATCCGTTTGCCTATAAATAAATAAAAGTTCACTAAAAAATTTTTTGGTTCTCCCTAAAAAGGAGCTTTCACTTTTTCAACCTATATTTAAAAAAACTAAAAAATAAAATAAAATTAGAAAAAATTTTAAAAAATGGTTTTTTGACTCTAACAATTTTAAATGCATTTTATATATTTGAATTAATTGTGAGGAAAAAAATCCTATAAAGCATGTGAAGATAAAAAAAAATTTAAATAAATACAACTATAGTTTAAATTTAATGATTGATAATCACAAGAATAGATTTATTGACATAACACAAGAAAAGTTTAAGTTAAAATTAATTATTTGATAATTTCATTTAATCAAATTCAATAAAAAGATATTTTATTAATTATAGAAGCTAATTGTTTTAACGAGATAATAATATTGCATAAAAGTTATTTTTTAAAAATTAATACACACACACACTCACACTCACACACACACAAATAACAATTTGATTGACTATGAAAAATCAAAGGGATTAATATATGAAAATTTCAAATAAAAAGAATCTCTTTTGAAAAATGGAGGACAAATACTTTTAACATTTCTTTAAATTAATAGCCAAAAAAAAAAAACAGCAGAAAAAATAACGAGTCAATTGGATTGACTGATATAATTAACAAATTTAGATAAGGTTTGACCAAAAATCGATATTTTGAGGTTCAAATTACGTAAATTAATAATAAGTATCTTAAATTATCAAATTGCAATAGAATGAGATTAGTTTTTTCCATTAAACCATCAAAAGATTAATTAATTAGTTTTTGAAATAAGATGAGCTATTTAATTTTTTTTAAAACAAAACAAGATAGATTAATTTATAATTACTCAACAAATGAGTTGGATTCTCTCTTATACCCTCATTTATTAAATTTGTAAATGTATTCTAAACATTATTTCTAGTTCCAAAAAATCCTATTCTCTCGCAATAATCAAATTATTATCTTAGGTTTACTACATGTATATACAAAAAAAGAAATTAAAATAGTTTTGACAATAGCTTAGCTTAAGAAGTTGTAGATTTAATCTCGGTTGATGTAAAACTTTATTTGAGGATACTTTATTATTTATAAATATATAAAAAAAGAAAAAGAAAAAGAAAAAGAAATTAAATAATGCCCCATCTTTTTGCATAAAAAACATGTTATTCTCGTGTCAAAGAACTTATGAACTACAAGGTTGAACACGATGATTAAGTATATAATATTACTCTGTCTGCATCTGATTCTTCTTCTTACCGACCTTGTGCACACAAACGTTCCAACCAAGTCGTAAAGCAGAAGCAAAAAGGAAGTAAAATCATTGAGTTAGCTTTATATTGTTTAATTAATATATGGCATTCCAAAGTGTAAAAGAAGCAGTGATTATATATATATATTGTTGGTCTATTTAGATGGGTAAATTATCTGAATTATTATGTAGTTTCATAATTTGTTGGTGATCTATTTGGATTTTGACCAAAGTAATAATTATATTTAATCATTTATTCACATAGTTATCATGACAATTTTTAAGTCCATTGAATTTCTGAAATGATTTATTTAAATTGTTTAAACACCACACATAAATATTATATTAAGAAAAAAAATTACGTTCAAAGAGTTACCTAAATGAGACTGCTTCTGTCGTTGTCGCCAATAAGGTAGCATAGAAAGGATGTAATGGAGTAAGAAGAATAAGGTAAAGTCTAATTTATTTATATATATATATATATATATCCATTCAAAGCTTTAGATAATATATATTTTTCAAAATATTCATAATAAAAGTTCATTTTTGTAAAATATTATCTTATATGTATGCATAAAAGATGGTGATAACATATAACAATTAATAATATTTTTAATCAGTATGAAAAATTGAAAAATGATCTCTTTGAGACCAAGATAGCAAGTGGTTTTTTTTTTTTAACCTTAATTTACAATATGGTCGCTAATATTTGTAATTTACAAAATAGTCCTCTTATGAAAAGAGGAACGAAGATTCTGTTTTGCTGATTAACAATATCGTCCACGGTATTTAATATTTTTGTCAAAATTTTTGAGTTATTATTTATTTTATTTTTTCTGATTAACAATATCGTCCACGGTATTTAATATTTTTCTGATTAACAATAGCGTGAAGGTTCGTTTTTTTTTTTCAATAAAAAATGATATTTCCTTGTCTATCCTTTGTTATGAAATCAATATTTCATGTAAAATACTGAAAAATTAATTATTATTATTGTTTTTTTTTTCAACATAATCTTATAAATTTATTTAGGATATGATTCTTCTCTTTGTTGAACAGGTTTTTTTTTTCAAATTATATTAGATATTTAAAAATTATAATGCTGTATTAAATATCAAATTATTAAAATCTGGAAAATAAATTGAATTAAATTTATGTTTTATTTAAAATTATTTTTAATTAAATAAAAATAAAAATTTGAAAGAGTATAAAATAGAATCTATCAAATTAACTGAATTATTATTTTGTATTTTTTTGAATTACGTTTTAGTCGAATCAAATATCAACAACGCATAAAAATATCATAACTACAGATAATATTTGTACAATAACTAACAATTTAATGTGCATAGTTTACAGATATCCAATATCAAGAACATCAACGCATGAAAATTTTAAACTGATGTTTTAACAATGTTTTAAAGTGGAAATGATATAGTCCACAACTTGAAAATACTTAGCTCTAATAAATCACCTTGTAAAAGTCTCAATCTCAATCTAGCGATTTAATAGTTGATAATGATTAGTTGATGGATGCAATTAAAAAACCATGTTATGCTCATAATAACAAATGAAAAAAATATATATAATTCTAAGCTCAGACATTGAGAACGCAAATTACATTTATACAAAGAACTCCTGAATTTGAATTGGTTGCAAATCTCAGCCACGCAGCAAAGCGTAGACTTAAGAGCTAGTAATAGCATACACTATTTTGAAGCTAGATCTTCCAAATATATATATAAGCTTTTATTCGAGATTATAGTTTATTTGGTATGAGATTTCTTTTAATTTATTTATTTTTGAGAATTTTAATTTTTTTAATCAAATATTTTTATTTACTAACATAACTATTACATTGACACGTCATCATGCTAATATATATATATGTCCACCATGTAAAAGTAAATATTTTATTTTATTTATAATCGAGTGTCTATATTTTTAATTTTTTTTGTATTTAAATATATATTTTTTTTCTATATGATTATCTGTATTTTTATTTTTTTATGAGTTTTATTAATTTTAAAATCTAACGAATGTGTACTATGCAATCTTATATATATATCATATTTGACCAATTTAACTAAAATTAGAACAAAAATATAGATAAAAATTTATTAAATTAAAACGAAATATATAATCAAAGGCATAAAAAAAAATAAATTTATGTCTACAATAACTGACTAGGTAAGGAAAAAAAAAAAAAGCTAACAAAATAACTACAAAAATTGTAAGATTTTGATGGAAATTTGTATGGAAATATGTGTGTGCGCGTGAGAGATCAAAGACTTCATTGAGGAATTGAAATATATAAAATTATATTAAAAAAATCAGTTTTGTTGTATAATGGATTTGCTATTTTTTTTTTTTTTACCTTTTAAAATTAATAGTGGAAATTTATTTGGTTTGTGAAAAAGTGGAGGAAATTAAATAATCTAACTATTTTTATTTTTTTGACAAATCATATTTTATTCTTAGTTTCTTTTAAATTGAAAAAATTGTTTTTATTGCTTATTTTTTTAATTTTATTTTACTTGGTCAAAATATAGTTTACGTAGGATTCCAAAAGTGGATACTTGTTAGATTTCAAAATCAATAGCAATTATCGAATAAAATTTTAAAAAGCATAAAACAGTCCAATAGAAAATATAAAAATACTTATACTCAAACTAAAAAAAAATTGTACGGACACTTGAATAGAAATAGATTGAAATATTTATATTCATGTGATAAATATATTAGTATTGGATATGTGAGTATGCTGATATGTTAATTTAACAGTAATTTTAGTATGGATTTAACAACACTTAATTAAATCAAATAATTCAAAAATTTGCACACTCAAATATAAAGAATTGGAAGTTCTAATCAAACTGACTATTAAAAACATGTTTTCATGCTTGGATCTTTATGTCCATAACAAACTTAAAATTTATAATACTCCGAGGAAGAAGAAGAAAATCTCCTATCAACCAAATGTCTCAGGGACAGCCTTCCTTTTGATTCTTGGTAGCCCTCCTGCCTAATTTGTTCCAAGAAGCCATTGGGTCACCGTGGTCACGAGCCCATGCATATGTGGTATCCAAGCTTTGCCATTGGCCACAAAACGCGAAACCACTTCTTTCCTCTTCCAAGAACAAGGCTCAACCAAAAAAATTATTTTTGTCGGACAACATTCAAGCCTAAATAAAATAAAAATTAATTAAACATTGAAAAAAAAAAAAGAAGCGTATTAACGAGTCTAAATTAGTGAGCTGTAAGTAAATAAAATAATGCTGTATTACAAGTTTTAATTATAATAAGCATGAAAAAACTACCCACATCAACAAAACAGCCGAATATAAGGTGTATTTTTCCTTTAATATTTAAATAGAGAGAGAGACACGAAACATTTATATGCCTCGTGAAGAACTCGAAATCCACTAACTTATATGAATGTATTGTTTTTTATTTTCATCAAATATATTTCTTAAATAATTAAACTTTTAAAATAAAATTATTGTCGAGGAGTTTACCTTTTAAATCTTTAGAATATTTAACATTGTATCAAGTTATGGTAAGTTCAGTATTTTTATATTAATATTTATTATCAACTATTCGTTAATTTTTATAATGTAATTACAATATATATATATATATATATATATATATATATATATATATATATATATAAAGGAATTCATGAACCCACCTGAACCCAATGTGGAATTTTTTTTTCTCACCATAAACTTGATAACTATGAGTTGGGAATAAAGGAAGTATAACCCGTTATGATACCATCTCTAAGAAATTTTAAGGTCCTCAGATAAATTAGTACTTAAGACCAATTTTATTTGGACCAAAATAATATGATTGGCTGCTATAATAGATCAAGACGGCGTGATTAGTTTGGCCCATTATGTAAAAAGTTCTATCTTCCTTCGGGAGGTGGCATTGTCCACCTTTCTTTCTTAATAACACTCCTTCCCCAATTTTTACACTAATTTACTTATTACTTATTCTTTTTTTTTTTTTTATCAATAATCTTTTACCAAACATATCCCAAGAAAAATTACAAAATTGATGCGTAGTGTGAAAGGTTAAACATCTGAATTCTAATTCCAATATTGGAAAAAAAAAGTGTGAACTTTTGAACACAACTTATAATCGAACTTTTTGCATGATTATAGATTAATTGTCCTACCCTCATTTTTGTCATGATTTATATGTTTATAAGGTCTTCTTTCATACCAACACAAAGTTAATCCAAGCTAGGAAAAAAAAAAGATTTACTTACACACTTGAAATAGCACTAACTCAAACTTAATCTACCATAACAAGCTAAAATGTTTATCATTTTATAGAGGGAGTGTATATTTATTTTATATTGGTTATCTCCTTCTTTTGTATTGTTATTATTATTTAATACACTAAATATTTAAATTGATATTTTTATTTAATATGTAGATTTCTACCCCTGTTGCATGCTCAATTTGTAAGACTAAATTCCAAAGAATATCAATCAGTAATTTTATCGAACATAATGATAAAAGCAAAGTAAAAGAAAATTGTTTCAATCTTCTCAAAATTAATATTTTACTATCATTTATGTCGCTGCGCCTCCCAACGTTGCAGCCAGCGACATTGGGAAGTGCAACAACAATTTGTGTGGTCTTTGCTTTAATTTTTTTTCCTTTTTTATATTTTAGAAGAAGTGGGAGCAAGCTATAGCTGCTGTCGCCACTAAAGATGCAAAAGTCATTGAAGCTGCTGCTAAAATAAATGCAAAAAACCCAAAAAGAAGAAAAAATATATACTGTATTTAAGATATGAGTAAGATATAAGAACAAATAGTTATCCACCATTATAATAATAAAATAAGACAATTTATTAAGATATGAATAAATAGTTGGCAAATAGTGTCATACTCAATTTTTGCCCATTCTAAACTTTTAATTCTTATTTTTTGTGTTTTTTTTTTCATTTGTTTTTTATTTATCCTTTAGCACAAAAAAGAAAAGAAAAGAAAATTGGATAGTAAAAAAAAATTATTTATTTGCTTTGACCTTATTACAAAATTATAGAAAATTACAAAAAAAAAAAAATACAACAAAAAGAAAACAATGAATTTCTTCTGCATCCTTGAGTGGTTCCAAATATCTTCCTTAACCTTCAGTTTGCATCCCCTTTTCACCCTTTTATCCAATAATACTTACAGCCTCAAACCATCCATTAGACAAACCCCATCAACACCCTACTAGAGCCTACAATCTTGCAACATTGCAAGTCAATTGAACAAGAAACCCGCCAATCCTCCACCTTTTCCCTAAAGCTCTTAGACCACTTCCAAGTCAAACCCCCAATAGCTCTTACACCACTGCAACCAGAGACAGCACACTACTACCAGTTGCCCATTTTTCACTAAAATCACCCCACGACCAATACTCTATAACCACTACAATCACCCCATCATGTCACAACCCCTGCAATCACCCCATGACCAACACAACTGCCAACTCCAATTCCCCACAACTCCTACCTGTAACTTCCTCATAACCCCTGTAATATCCCTCACCATTATGGTGGGGAACTAACCAATTATGGACATATATAAATATTAGCAAGAATAAGATTAAAGGGGAAAAAAAGTAGTAAAAAAAAGAAAAAGGAAATTAAAAAAAAGACAGTAACTAAGAAAAGAAAAGAAAAAAGAAAAGCAAAAAAGGAAACGAAGAAAATTTACCTAAAGCAAAGTTGGAATCTAACCTCATCCTTAACCAATTCTGCTTGAGTCGAACGAATGATAGTTAGGATTTTCAAACAGAAGATTGCTCCCTCTCATAGCCATCACCCATCTTCGATCAACAAACAAAAGCTAATCCCCTCAATGCCTAACCTCTTTTTCATTTTAGTACAAACCTCCTTTACCTCTCTTCCATTTCATTACACACCCTCTTACTCCTAGTTCTTCAAGAACGGATGAGGGCAGTGGCTTAGTCACTACCATTACATCAGAGAGGAGATCGATTCAATCTCTCATTTTCTTCTCAATCTGCATTAGCCACACTCCTATTGTTACCTCTAGTTCATCAAGTACTAATGATGGTAATGGTTTAGACATTGCCATCACACATCATATAACATAAAAACCTTAGGTTAAAGTTTTTTTTTTATAGGTAATTTGGGGATGAAGATTAATTGGATTTAGAGAGAGAGAGAGATTGATTAGGCTTTAGAGAAAGGGAAAGTTAGATTTTAATTTAGTGATTTTGATCCCAATGAGAACTATAGATGATCGATTTAGAGGATAAAATACTTTGGGTCTCACTCGGTGTTTGGGTTTTCGAATGGGTGAGAGAAGGAGAAGGAATCCAGTTTGTTTAGGATTAGGGGAGGATTTTAGGTTATTCTCAAAAGAAGAATATGAGTATGAAGAAGGAACAAGAAGGAGAATAAGAATAAATAGAGGGATGAACTAGTTCGTCCATGGGGATGAGGCAATTAGGAAGAAGAAGAAGAAGAAAAAAAAAGTAAAGGGAGAGAGAAAGAGAAAGAAAAGATAGAAATCAGGAGAGAGAGAAAAATAAAAAAGTGGTTTTGATCCATGTTTCACTACAAAAGGAATTAGGAGGTATTTGTAGGTTGGGCTAAGCCCAACCCATGTGCATAAAAAAATTGGGCTAGATTGGATAGTCCAGCTCGAACCAAACAAATTGGGCTGGACTTATTCTAGTCTAGCTCCCTAAAAAAATATAAAAAAAGGATAACTAATAAAAAAAAATGTCTTTGTTTCAATCCTATATTTATTTTATGCATATTTTTCCTTTTATATTTAATTTAGGTTTCAATGTTTGAATTTTTTTTTTAATGTAATTTTAACTTTGAGTTTATTTTTATGCATGTTTGTTTTTTCATGTTTATTTTAGATTTTAATGTTCAATTTTTTTTGTAATTAATTTGATTAATATAATTTTTATGTTTATTTTAGTAATCAAATTAAGTAATCAATAGATGGATAATTATTGAGTCTCTTATCTTTTAGGGATCGATGATGATTTTTCCACCAACAAAAAAATAAAAAAAATCATAAAATGTTTAATAAAGTCTTCTATTTGATAGAGACTCGTTGTTAGCTAAAAACATTATTTTTAATAATCAGAATGTTCTCTAACACATCGATTGTGTCAAGGTTTAAAGTAGATTCTATATTTGAACCGATGTATCTCCCGACGAAGCGGTTAGACAATCGTTTCAATATGATGTCACGCCCAAAAAATAAAAATAAAATTAATTTGACTCATAAAACCTTTAACAAAGTCTCCTATCCGATATGCATTATATATATATATATATATATATATATATATATATATATATATATATATATATATATATAATAAAATCGGGATGTTTGTCGACACACCAATTGTTTCGAGGCTTAAAATGAATCCGATGTTTGAATCGATATGTCTATCGATGAAGGGGTCTAGCGATCGTTTTCAATACGATGTCGTATCCAAAAATAAAAAACTTAATTTGACTTGAAAAATTAGAGTTTTGAATAGGAAATAACTTGACACGGATAAAATACTTTAGGAGATGAACTCGGGACTAAAACGGACATGGTACCTTTCTTAGGAAAGGGTGTCTTTGAGTGATCGATATCTTCCCAAAGCATAACCAATCCATGCCTTAGAATCTTTAAACCAATGCTCATTTTAGGTTTCTAGTTTCTTCAATACTAGGTGGTGACTTCAAACTTGTAAATAATTCTTTAAATAAAAATCTTAATTTTTTCGAGAGTCTCTTCTAATGTTAGGTAGCGACAAATAGTATTTAAGTAATAAAATTAATTAAGAACCAATGTTAATTTGATGAAATTGCAATAAAAAATTGATATTTGATGTAATATTTTAAGTGTGATTGCTTTTTCATTTCGTTATTTTCTTCCATCTACCGGTGTAGGAAGAAAAAAACACATCAATAGCTTTATTTGATTTAAGTCGCTACTATCATAGCCTTCACACAATTCAAGTTTATTTTCTTGTTTTGATGCCATACATAACAACAAAACATGTAATAGTGCTTGTATAGACAATATGAACTTTTTGAGGTACTTTTAGAAGATAGGAATGGAGATCTTCTTTACTTTTATACAAGAATATTGGATGTGCACAAACTCAAGCTTAATCAACCATATCAAACTAAAATGTCTATCATTTTATTGAGAGACTCGTATGTTTATTTAATATGTAGATTTCTACTCCTGCTACATACTCCATTTGTAAGACTAAATTTGAAAGAATATCAATCGGTAATTTTATGAAACATAATGATAAATGCAAGGTAAAATTAAATTTCCTCACTCTTCTCAAAATTAATATTTTATTATCATTTATGTCACCGCACCTCCCTACATTGTGGCTCGCGATGTTGGGAGGCATGATGACAATTTATATGGTTTTTGCTTTAATCTTTTCTTTTTTTTTCTTTTTATATTTTAGAATAAGTGTAAAAAGCTATAGCTAGCGTCACCGTTGAAGATGCATGGGCTATTAAAGTTGTTGCTAAAATAGATTAAAAAAATACCATAAAAAAACCAAAAAGACAAAAAATATATATATCTTTAAGATATAAGTAAGATATAAGCACAAATGGTTGTCCAACATGAGAATAATAAAATAAAAAAATCAATTAAGGTATGAATAAATGATTGGCGGATAGTATTGGAATAATAAAATTAAGAAACTGTGTTAATTTAATGAAAATTGCAATAAAAAAGTTAATATTTGATGTAGTAAATTAAGAGTGATTGCTTTTTTCATTTTATTATTTTCTTCTATCTACCCTTATAGAAAAAAAAAACCACACCAATATCTTCAAATTTAAGTCGCTACTATTATAGATCTCGCACAATTCAAGTTTATTTTCTTGTTTTGATGCCATACATAATACCAAATCATATTGTAATGCTTGTATAGACAATATGAGTTTTTTTTTTTGAGGTACTTCTAAAAGATAGGAATGGAGATTTTCTTTACTTTGATATGAGAATATTATGTGCACATGAAACTTAATCTAACATATCAAACTAAAATATGTATCATTTTGCCAAGTGACTATATGCTTATTTTATATTGGTTCATTATCGCTTCATTTGTATTTTTATTATTATTTAATACATTAATATAATTAAACTAATATTTGTATTTAATATGTAGATTTCTATCCTTGTTACATGCTCAATTTGTAAGACTAAATTTCAAAGAATATCAACCAATAATTTTATCGAATATGATGATAAATGCAAGGTAAAATAAAATTTCCTCACTCTTCTCAAAATTAATATTTTATTATCATTTATATCGTCGTGCCTCCCAATGTCGCAGCCTACGAAAAATTATATGGTTTTTGCTTTAATCTTTTTTTTTTTTAAGTAGAAGCATGAGCAAGCTTTGCAATTGCCGTTGAAGATGCACGGTCTACTAAAGCTATTGCCAAAATAGATGCACAAAATACAGCCAAAAACAAAAAAAAACCAAAAAGACAAAAAAAAAAAAAAGAATTTCTTTAAGAGATGAGTAAGATATAGCAACAAATGGTTGTCCGAAATTAGAATAATAAAATAAGACAATCAATTAAGATATACATAAATGGTGGGAAGACAATATTGGAGTAATAAAATTAAGAAACTATGTTAATTTAATGGAAATTACAATAAAAAGTTAATATTTGATATGTAATAATTTAAGTGATTGCTTTTATTTTATTTTATTTTTTTATTCTATCCACCTGTGTAGAAAAGAAAAAAAAACACAACAATACCTTCATTTGATTTAAGTCACTATTAATATAGCCTTCACATAATTCAAGTTTATTTTCTTTTTCTATGCCATACAGAAACAAAGCATATAGTAGTGCTTCAATATGAGCTTTTTGAGGTACTTTTAGAAGATAAGAATGAGGATCTTCTTCACTTTGATATGGGAATATTGTTAGCTCATATTCCTACTGATACAGTTTCTTCTAAAAATTATTTGTATTGATCCATATATGCTAAATTAACCTTCAAAAAGGTTTTGGCCGAAACTCTTGCTTTCCATTCAAAAATAGTTAGTTTCCTTGTTTTAGATGCATACTAGTTATTCTTCTATTGTCGATTTTTTCTTTGTATTTATTAGTTGTATGAGGCTAAGATTTTATTTCTTTTCTTATGTGATTTCTATTTTTTATTGGGATTTGGGTTTTGATGACTTGTTGGGACTATTATTGGAAGAAATTAGGACTTTTTGATTTATTGATTTACTGCATTTTCTGACTGTTCAATATTTTTTGTTTCCCCTTCTCCATTAGCAAAATTCTTGCCTGTAGTGTTTTCTAATTAATTGATTTAGTTATAAAAAAAGGATCCATTTAATAGTTGTATAGATGTTCACAATTTTAGAATTCCGATTACTCTCATCATAATTATTGTTTACGTTCATTGTTTTCTTTGTTCTTTTAAAAAAATTTCATATAACCAACTAGTTATTGCTTCAATGGTAAGCGAAGTTGGTCTCCGGACGAATTTTTTATCAATGTAATTCTAGATCATAATTGTTTAGAGATGTTAAATCTTATCATTTTCATCTTAAATATGATTAGTCTTATTTCTAATATAGAATAAAAAAACCTAGAGAAAAAAAAATCATGTACAACACATCTCATGTTTTTTTTTAACAACACTCGAACACTAACGTGGGGGTGGTTAGAAGCAATTTAGAGGTTGTTTGAGAAATCTAGAACCTTTTTTAGCGGTTTTAAAATTGAGGTATTTTAACTCAAAATGGTGAATAAACTCCCCATCCTCTTGCTTTTTGGGCTTGGGCTGTTTGGATCGATAGTGAACAAAAAACTAATTGGAGAACGGGCTTTAAGTTAAATCATTCAAGATCTTTTCTTAATTTGTTGTGCTACCAAGCTTAAGTAAAATTTTGGTATAACACAAGTAAATCATTTGTACAATTATTAATGAGATAACTATTGTATTCAATCTAATAAACATTTTATTGATTTACGTATGGTATATTTATGCACATTGCTTGTACAAAGAAAATAAAATCACTTATTTAGAAATCCAATAAACTCTACGGTGATACATCAATCCATCTAGAACTATTAATAGTCGAGAAATTTTATAGTACTCAATGAGCAACAACCGATACTTACTTCATAAGAAAGAGATACACATAAATAAAGGAGAGAAATAAGTAAAATAATAATAATAATAATAAAATAAATACATACATACTCTATAAGAAAGACATACACACAAAAAAGAGAGAGTAATAAGAAAAAAAATGAGCCTAGGTGAAAATTTTTATATTGCTTTTAGTGGATTTTAGATGTGATTTATGTATTTATCTTTTTTCTAAAAAATATAACTAATAAAATAACTGCTGTATACATATAATAGTTAGTACTTTACATATAATAGTTAGTACTTTGAGCATTTTAAAATTTCTCCAGTTAGTCTATTAAAGATCACAGCGTCAAACCAATTTAATGAAACGTTCCAAGTCGCTCAAGAATACCCATGAAACATGGAATCAACTATTTTACATGTCGTACGAAGGTCTGTATCGTATGATAACAACATTCATATGTGTTAGTCAACCATTGAGTATCAAATGGTTGATATATATATATATGCACTTAATCCAGTGACTCTGTTAAGAGGTCTTATATGGATTTAATTTACTAATCCTGATTGATGTGGGATTTTAAATCCAAGTTACAGTTGGAAGTAAGAGTATATATATACTCGATCGGTTGACACCTATGGTTGGGACTTGAAGCGGTCAATTCCGAAGCAGATCAGGCGCTCTTGCCCTGCCTTTTCTTGTCCTTGACAGGTAAAGAAACTCTTTGGTACTGTTTTGATTCACTCTTGCTCTGTTTCTGCAATCTAACTCCATAAAATAAACTTGCAATTGGAATTATTATTCTTGTTTCACTATTATTGTTTTTGATGATGCCAATTTAAGTTTTAATTGACAGAGTTTAAAAAAGTCATGGAAGCAACTCAATCTTATCCTTGGCTGCTCATGCATCGTGAGAATGATGGGCAATGGTGGACCTTTTACCGTATATCAAAAAACAGATTACACAAAAGTGATTCCAAGTATGCAAAATAAAGAAAAATGCAATTGCTCTTATGGATGGTTGGTGTTGAGAGATCTCAATCCAAAAGATTGTCACCTTTTAAATCCCTTCTCTATCGATGAGATTCAGCTTCCCCGATTGGACATCAACTACAAGTGTTGTGTTTTATCATCACCGCCAAGCGAGTCACCGCCAAGATCAGAAAAAATTATTATGTTTTACCAACCAGATGGAGACGACAAATTTATGCAAAAATAAATCGATGTTGGTTTTAGTTTGAAGGGTATTGAAATTGAGTCCACTGAGTGTGTTAATAAAGGAATTTGCTCGGCCATCCAATCGAAATTTATACTGTTATCGGGACTATCTGGTAGAGGATTGTGGCGAGCTCTTACTGGTACACATGATGTTATTTGGATTGTACTTGGCAGAGCTGCGTGGCCTTTTGGTGTTTCGATTTGATGTTTCAGAAACCAATGGGTGAAAACGAACAACCTGAAAGGATGCACCATCTTTCTTTCCATGAGAAGAGGCCTGGCTTGCTCTGCAGCAGAATAGGGTGTTAAACAAAACTCAATCTACGTTATACAGCCATCAGACACATGCCTTCGTGTTTTTGACTTGGAAGATGATACTTTTTCATTAACTTTACCTTGTCCAACAATGAGCTGTGATGCGGAATTTGATCGGATTATGATCTTGCAAGAGACAAGAACAAAATATCCTATCATATGTCTTAATTTAATGTTTTATTTTTTGGATGAAGGAAATACAAAGGCATGGACTCCATTGAAAAGCTCGAGTCCAAATTTTGATTATACATCACTACACAAGCATCATAACACATGAACATGATTCATACAATAACATATGTATATGCTGATTAAACCATTGATCTTCATTCATCGATCTCTTAGATGATCAGACATGACTGCACGACCCAGGCTGTTTCGCACTAAAACGGACGCAGCTACATCCATCAGTACAATCGCTATTATAATAGCATTGCTTGTAGCAACTGCCTAACTTACCTTCAATGATCAGTTCACCAGGTATCATGGTTTGATCATCAACCCAGACAGCATCCAAGATGAAAGGATATGGCACTCTTGCAAAGCTAGACTGTGCCAAGGTTAGTGCAAGCACCATGGCTACCACCACCACCAAACTGATCTTCTTGCTCTCCATTATCGATTTTTCTTGTCTTGGTGTTGATGAAATGTTTTGGTGTGCTGTATAGGTATCTCCCAGCTGCATTTTATAGCAAAGGGATGCTGTGTTATTATGATTAAAAAAGAAAAAAAGTAGCATTATTTATTTTTTTAATTACAAGTTACCTAATGGGAAATTGCACTCTGATCAGCACACTATATAAGTTTAATATTTTTATCAATGGAGTCTAGAAGTTTTGATTTTATTAAATAAGTATATCAACGTTTTCGATTTCATATCAATCAAATATTACTTAGATTATATTGTAGCATTTTTTGCAATATCATCGAAGGTTGTCTTGGATGATACACACATATAGTATTTAGAGTTTTTTTCAATAATTTTTTTATTTATTTTCAAGAGTACTTTTTAATACTGATCCAATCTGACGTATTGGCTGGCTTCGTAACCAACTTGCCTTCAAACTTACAACGTAATTCTTGAGTCAAATACCACAATGCAAAATTATTATCAAAGAAATCAAACTTAAATATACCAAATAGTCTTAAAATAAAAAAAGATTTTTATTTCATTATATCCATAAATTGGCAGAGCCCATTTGTGGTTTAGTTAAATTAGATATAATTAAGATTGAGTTTTATTAAAAAATTATAGACATTGTGATAGATAGTTTATTCTTAACTTGAGATTTTAAGATCTTTACAGATAATTAAACTTCTTTAAAACTTTAATATCATATAAATTAGAGATAATTAAGATTGAGTTCTATTAAAAAAATTTAAGTTTTGTGATAACTATTAATCTATTCTCAATTTTATATATTACTTATTACTTATTTATTTATTTAATATAAAATATGTTCTCTATTTAAATGCATATTTTAGGTTAATTACAAATACCGGTAGGTGAAATAATTTCATAATTTTGAAATTTCTACATCAATAACACTTGATACATGTATCAAATTAATGAAAATACTAAATCAAATACAAAGTAATTAAATGACATTTATGCACATGATTGCTAGCCAACAATTATAGTTTGTCGGAGTCAATTTTATATTCAACAAATTTAACCTAGGATATCACGAGCATCATACTATAATAAAAAAATCAGAACCAAACAAATAATAAAGCTTGGATTCCTAAACACAGGAGCATCCAATGCCAAACATGACCTGGATGTCTGTGTCTAGTGCACCTTGATGAAGCATAAAATTAATTAAGAAGTGTTTCCACACCTAATTTAAAAAAAGAAAAAGAAAAAAAAAGGGGCTATACCCCAATTCATTATTGAAATATTAGGTATACCTATATTTTTATATAATTTCATTATTGAAACTTGAAAAAAATATATATGGAGGTACAGCTAAATTCACCAATAGAATTATTATTCCCACTATTTTTTTTAGAAAATTATAAATACATTTTACACAAATATTTTTATGTAATAATTATTTGTGATTGGTGAAAAATATATTCATAATAGTCTATAAAAAATGATAAGAATAACAATTTTATTGATAAATTTAATATATAGTGATCTATATATAGAGAGAGAGAGAGATATGCATTTTACATATCCTCTATTTTAAAATTTTCTATTAAATTTCTTCATTTGTTTTATATTTATTTTAAGCGACATGAATTATTTCATTTCAAGAGACACAAAAAATTCACAAAAGCAAAGTTCAAGAAAATCATGGTTAAAAAGTGCTGAGCTTCTATGAAATTACCATTTTCTCCAAAATACTTACAGAAATACCAATCATCGTATATTATCCTACAAATACCCGTATCAAGTACAGAAAATTTAGAACAAAGGTCAATCAAGTACATTTAAGAACCACATGGCATCAAAGGAGTAGTACTGTTTCATGGGCCAATGAGATCGATGAATTGTTTTCAAAAGTTAAAAATACTGAAATGGGTCGGAAAGTTATGAATCGTAAATCAAATAAACATTTTGGCCCCCATCCACACCCCCACCACCCCACCTGCCCCCGCCCCCCAACACGAATTCTTGCATCTCGTCAAATAGACCAACCTACATAATCTTCATTTTTTGTGTGCCATGTGTCATGTTGGGAGGGGCGAAGGCATGGATCTTTGGAACATAATGAAGGCACTCTGAAAAGACCCCTTATCGTGACACGTGTAATAGTGGGTCTTGCACTATTTCTGCCTGTCTTTTTTGAGTGCTTTTATTATTATTATTATTATTAATGACTCTCAGCTTCTATTTTTTTTTAAAAAAAATAATTATTTTGAAACAAGCATATTTTAGAAATAAACAAAAAATTAAATGGTAGTTCTGGATGTGTTTTTTGGTGAAAAAAACCGAAAGGTATGGATTTTTGGTGGCGTTGTATTTGTAGGAATTCCGCAAAATCCTAGACTCCAGGTGATTTTGCAGAATCCAGCGAGCGATAAGGTTTTCTAGTTTTACATATTCTTTATTTTGCTCCTAACTTGTTAAATAGTTCTAATAACCCTCTAATTCAAATTTTTGTGTTATAACGTAAAATTTCTCGCTCTATATTTTATTTATGCTTATTTTATATGATATAAGTTGATTTGAATAGATTACGAAGCACATGAACACTTCATTTTTGGTGTGCCATGTGTCATGTTGGGAGAGGCAAAAGCATTGAAAGACATGGATCTTTGAAACATAATGAAAACACTCTAAAAGGACCCATTATCATGACACCTGTAATTGTGGGTCATGCACTGTTTCTTTGCTTTGTCTTTTTTTTTTTTTTTTTTTTTAATGAATCTCAACTTCTATCTATAAAAAATATAATTATTTTGAAACGAGCATATTTTAGAAAAAAAAAAAAAGAGTTAAATTGTAATGAATAATAAATAAAATTACTAAGTATATATAGGGATTCAATATTGGATTTTTTAAATTGAAAGGATTAATTAATTATTTTTTTAAAAAAAACAAGGATTTAATAATACATTCAATGATAAGAAATGTTAAACCTTAATAATTGAAGCTTGGATTGCCCAACGCAAGAGTGTCCTGAAATACTGAAATCAAAAGAGTTTTGTAGTTGAAAAATAAAAATTCTAAAATAAAGTAGAAGTACACATTCAATTCATTATTTCAATTGAAATCCAAGCTCAAAAAAGTTAATACAAATTCAAGTTATTAATCCAATTGGCAGACGTAAACAATCCGGATGCCTTATTTATCTCAAAACTTTTGAAGGAGGATAATCCCACAAATCCTGACATCTCTTGCAGATCAACTTGAAGAGCTACTTCGCTTTCTCTTGATCTCAGAAAGTTTATCCGGCAGCCACCTCCAACTGTAGAAAAGCAGGAAAAACGACAAGTAGTAGACATAATGCGAGAGCATTCCTTCAAGAATCTGGTTGACTGATGGTGGAAGAATCCATTGAATGTAAAGCAATGTTTGAGCAACGAAAAACACAGCTCCCACGACTATAATGATGGTTGCTAACACTCCATAATTGGATCCACCCAATGCTATGCTCACAGCAAAAAAGAAGGCCAAGCACATCATGTAGATAGATCCACCAACCATTAAGGACGAAAACCAGACTACAATGGGTGCAAACTTGACATCATTCAAGTTTGTCCAGAGAAGGATTATAGCCGCCACCACAGAGGTATTTAAAGCCCACACATCAAGACATAAATAACCATCCAGAAGAGATGAACCAGTGGGACTGTCAAAGGCAGTGGTATTATGAGGGAACGTGCTATTAAAGTCATGATGATGTTCATTTGAGCTATTGATACTCTTTAATTGTGGCAATTGTATAGCACCAGAAAAGGTTACACCAGCAACAAGCACTGCTACCACAAGAAGATTCTCTATCCTGCTTTTTGTTTCCTCTTTCCTTGGTGGCTTGGCTAGAGTACTACTGAAATGCTCACGTAGGGTTTTCTTAGGGGGGCATGGAAGTATAGGATCGATAATGTAGTCATCTGCATAGAAATTGAAAAAAACTTGATGGTTTCACTATATATATATATATATATTTTGGCACTTTCTTCATCGCCTTTGGAGATCATCCAAAAGCATTGCCCGTGAAATGCCTTTCAAAGAACAAGCAAGATGTTCCAAAAATTAGGGATATCAAGGGAAAAAAAAAAAGGAAACGAGAAAAGAAATAATACCGCTCCATAATAATTTAGCACTTCGTAATCCTTTGGTGATGCCTTTTTTCTATCTTGCTTCTTTGGATCAACTTCTTTGTCCTGTCAAAAACATAATTGCATGTTAATATGTTGTGCTACCATTTGTTTTTCTTTCTTTGGTGCTATGGTTATACAGAAACATAAGCCACTGAAACTGGTGATCAGCCCATGTTCGGAAAATGGTCCTTGAGCTTAGATGAGATGTTAAACTCAAGTACAGTTTTAGGCTCACAAAGTTTGTGCCGTCAAAGAAAACTTGTACCTTTGTTTGAGAACTGGTCGAACCGGCCGACTTTTCTAATGTAGAATTCTTCATTTCATCCTTCACAACTTTTGAATCAACTTGGCCATCCTAACGAATGAAGACAGAGAATTAATGAAAAAATGCACAACAGATAATTTTTCAATTTACATAAGTATGTCAAATAACCACTGAACTCAAAAGCCTAAGCCTTTAGATAAGCTTCAAGATATGGTGTCTCATATCTTTAGTTTTGATTTCAGTCAGCTTTGTTAGAGCAGTTCCATTACTTGATATTCCTTTGTAATGGAATGCATATCTAATTGAAATGTAAGCAAAGAAAATATCAACAGAAATCTTATACCGGGGTCCCGTCCACAGGGGAATTGTTGTTTGAAGCAGAGTGCTTTATTTCCTCAGAAAGCTGGGAAAAAAGGAGCAAGAACAGATACCAAAATGTTAAATCAATAATACTTCTAAAACATATACTTTTGTAGCTTGATAAATCATGATCAAATAGCATACCATCTCATCTGTTTTCCCATATTGCTCTACAGCTATTTTGGATTGTTGTTCAGCAATTTCATACGGTGTCAAATCATCATTGTTTACAATTGAACGTTCAACACGGTTGTCACGCACAAGAACAAATGCAGCCGTGGATTGGCCATGCCGTGTTGCCAAATGCAAAGGTGTATTTCCATCCGCATCCATCTCATTTAGCAGCGGTTCGATGAGATTCTGATCCTGTTTGAGTATGTACCTCACCACATTGCCTGTTCCATTTGCGGCCGCTGCGTGAAGGATGTTCTGCCCCTTTTCATTGAGGAATTCTTTCGGATATGGGAAAATTTTCAGAAATTCCTTTAGTACATCAACAGAGTCATTTTCGCAGGCAAGATGGATAGGATAGTTTCCTTCCTGGTCGCCTTCATTTGCACTGGCAGGAAACTTCTGCAATAGGAATTGAACTCCTTCCAGATAACCTATGGATGATGCATAATGGAGTGAATTTCTCAACTCTTTGTCTTTGAGACAAAATAGCTCTGGCTTCGCTGATTCAATTTTCTTTAGTATATCTGAAATCACAAGAAATTGTCTCAAATGAATATAAAGATGACAGGTTTGCAAGATTTCTTTGTATGTAAACCATTTTGTGATGAGTATAGACATTGTGATCACCTATGTTACGATGCTCGATGGCACCATGAACAGGGGACTCTCCTTCTGGTAGACTGCCAAGGGATTCATCATCTTCTCCTTTTATAGGGATCGAAGGGACCGGAGCTTCCGTATTCAAGAGATGATCAAGTACCCCTTTCTTGTTGCTATTCTCAACAGCCAGATACAGAGGAGACTTGCCTGTCTTGTTGTTGTAATAGGCCACATCTGGTTCTTTGGTAACTAGCCATACTACAACGTCTTTATGACCCTTGATCACTGAATCATGCAAAGGAGTGTTTCCTTTTTTATTTGTCTTCTTCATCAAGCTCGGATTAAATCCCACAATAGATTTAGTTGTAGAACTAACCCTTCCTTCTCTGGCAGCGACATGAAGGATTGTGTCCCCCTGGTTGTTTCGTCTGGTGATTAGAGAAGGAAACTCTTTAGCCAGATAATCTGCAATTTTGTCACTTCCATAGCTTAAAGCTACATGAAGTAGTGAATTCCCAGAGGGAGTCACTAGCTTCTCTGCTGAATCTCTCTCAAGACACCTTTTAAAGGCCTCAACGCTGTCCTGCTTCATAAATTCATATAAAAAAGGATCAATTATTGCATTTGCCTCAATATTTATTGCTACAATAGACATAGCGGAAAAATATTATGTTTGTACTTGAATCAGCTACAAATTGGAGCTGGACTTATATTTGAATAGACCAGAGTGCATTTCAATAGAATCTGAAGTGATATGGAGATCACTTTGATTTCACTGGCATGGATATACTTTGAGTACTCAATTACTTTACCTATTTGTTCTGCAAAGCCAAGACATAATAACAGAGAAAGCGAATGACCATGGATAAAGCAGCATCTAAGACAAGAAAAGGAAGAGAGAAAAATGTTCATTAACAGGAAAAAGCCTACCGATTGTCCTTATTCTTACCTTGAAAATATAATTGCAGCTTGTAGCACAAGTTTGGAACCTTATTCTTTTTCAAAGTGAAGCTTTAGATAGTTCTTGATTTCTGCAACGTTGATGTTTGATGTTACTATTTTGGCTTACATTCCACTTCCGTTCCAGATCGAAATCTGCCAGCTTTGATTTTAATGTTCTGATTAAAAAAAAACCTTTAATTTTAATGTTCTTTAAAAATGTTTTGAAATACTAATGAACGTGAATCACGTCCGCATCAAAGATGCTGGAGTCACATTTGCATGCAAGTATATACTTCACCAAGTTTTCTTGTCCATTTACAGCAGCCACTCGAAGGATTTCCTGCCTTTTCTGATTGACAAATTCCATAGGATCAGACCATTGCTTAAGCAATTCTTCTACTACTTTAACGTGGCCTTTTTTGCACGCAACATGGATAGACAAGTTGCCTTCTCGACTGCTTTCAACTGCACTAGTTTCCTTTAACAGGAACAGAACTTTTTCAAGATTACCTAGGGATGATGCAAAATGAAGTGGATTTTCCAACTCGTTGTCACGAAAATGGAGCAGCTCTGGCTCTTTTTCAGTAATTTTTCTCAGTGCATCTGAAATTCAGAAAGAAAGTTGAAACAATTATTTCATGCTGTTAATTAGCTCCAATATCATTTTACGATAAATATTGTTATCACCAATTTTTTTTTTTTTTTTTTTTTGCTGTACAGAAGCGTTTGCTGAGGGCGTCTTTTCATCTAGCTTGCTCAGTGGATCCGTATCTTTGGTTATACTGAAAGTTAGAGTTGATGGTTAACAAAATACTTGGCAGAATAATGTTTCTGCTGTTGTATTTATAAGACATTCAAGGGTACAATAGTACAATCCTACACATAGAGAAGCTAACATATTTACATTAGCTATAATAGTGAGTAGGTAATCAGAATATACTAATACAACCGACTTGCCTCAAAAGCTATATTGTCGAAGAGAAGGTCAAGTATTCTCTCCTTCTCTTGGTTATTCTCGACTTCTTGATGCGAGGGAGACTTATCTGCCTTCTTGCAGCTAATATTTTAGACCGCCAGGTACAAGGGAGACTTACCTGCCTTCTTCTTAGAATAGCCCAGCGTATGTTCTACCGAAACAAGGGATTCGGCCATGGCATATTGACTGTTAGTCACTGCACCATGCAAAGGAGTGTTTCCTTCTCCATTTTCAATCTTTAGCAAGCTAGAATCAATGTGGATGAGAGTTTCCGTGGTGTTCAAGTACTACCGTATCGTTGATGAAGTTTTGCTTGGTGATTATTGCAGGAAACTCTCTAGCCAGGTTTTCTAAAACATCTTTGCCGCCACAGGAAGTAATGAATTCCCTGAAGGAGTCATGACTTGTTCTGAAATTGTAGGAAAAGGTTGTAATTGAAGGAATGCCGAATCATTTGTATTTGCAGCTGTACATAAAATAATGTCTTAATTGCCTACAGTTATCTCCACTAATATTTGTTGCCAAGTACTGAACCACAGATAGACCAAAATTGTTTCAGTTTTAAAATAAGCTAACCGAAGAATAAATGCCATATGCTTTTATAGACCAGCCAGCCAGCAGATACCTTCACCCTACTTGTTTGAACTTACTGATTCAGAGACAGAGAGAGAAACAAAAGTACAAGTGAATAATTACGAAACTTAAGAAAAGAGAGATTCTTAGAACTCAAGACGTACCTTTACTGCTCGTACTTATTCCTTACGGTTCAAACGCGATACACGTTGTCTTTCTAACAGGGTAATTCTATTAGTACTACGTTATTTATCATAATAATGACGTAACAGCGTGATGCATAATTAAGAATATTAATTTTTTCGAGTTTAACTTCATAATTATGGAAATTTAAAATTTGATGCCATCGATTACAATAAAACTTATATTAAAGGAAATATGGTCTGTCCAACGAATATAAATTGATATTATTAAGTAAGAATAACATCCACTTTCCACTTCTTTTTTTTTCTTCATTCAATTTTTATGATATTTTTGTTGGGTATTTTTATTTTTTTAATTATATGGTAAATATATCATCCAGTCAGCTTATATATCAACCGAAATCAAGTCTCCTTATTAATGATTTTAAATCGTATTTCTCACATTGGTTTAGTACATTTATAGAAATTTAATAAATCTTTTTAGATAATGATCCCAAGGTTTGAACATGGAAAGAGAAGAATGGGAACAAACCTCTTTAAACACAGCCCAATCTCTCCATGATTGTGTTATACATGAAGCTATATCCACAAAGTCATATATATATATATATATATATATATATATTAAATCTTATAAATATCGAATTTGACCAAACTCTCGTTAAGGATAAATAATAAAATATAAATCTAACCACAAGTTTATTTTAAATAAATTATTTAAAAAATATACATGATGAAATATCAAAAGTATTATATATAAATATATATAATCGGCTTTGGAATTTCCGCAAGTCGGGAGGCATGTTCTTACGGCCGTTCGCATTTGCTAATTAGATTGAAAATGTCCCTCGTACCATTTCCCATCCGATCGGGTCAAGTTTTGTCCGGTAGGTATCCACCAGAACAGATAATTTTTTTTATTTTTATTTTTAAATAATATTAGAGTTTTAATAACTAATCAAATCCTACCATATCTAGCTCCGTAGCTTCTAATTAAATAAAAAAATAAAAATTTAAATATAAAAAATAGTGATAGATCTATAATAAAACTATATTCGTAAACCTCACCGGCTAATCTCGTAAGTCTTATAACCTTTGCTGCTGCTAGCTTCCAACCAAGCACAGCAAAAGCAAAAGAAGTAAAATCAGTACTAGAACGCTTTCTGAGAAAAATCTTCCTTTTATATGGAATCATGGGAATAGTTTCTTTTTGATTTCATATTTTCATTTTTTGCGCCCTAAGAATCCAGTTGAAGAAAAAATGCCAACTGAGATAAAGCCGTTGTAAAGCCAAGCACCATGTCCACCACCAATATTTGTCATAACCCAAAAATTTCTCCCTATTTATTTATTTATTTTTTTTGTTATTTATTTATTTTATTTTATCTTCATTTTATTTTATTCCTTTTTACTTTATTTTAAGGATTTACCAAAAAAAAAAAAAAAAAATATATATATATATATATATATAATGATGATGATAATAATAATATATTTTTTATTAATTGCAGCTAGGGGTACAATTGAATTAAATAAAAGTGTAATCAAGGCAACTAGTGAAACAATTGAATCAATTGAGAAATTCAGAATTAAAAAAAAAACACTTTATAGGATCTAATTGATAAAATTACAATTCATAAGGACTAAAATTACAAAATAAAAGAATACGATTGAAGACAATTGAAATTCGCAGGGATCAAATTGAAATTTGGGAGCAAGCGGTCTGTCGTTCGCTCCAACCCAGGAACAATTTCTGGGTTTCAATCTCAGTAGTACCAGCCAAGAATCAATCTGGCCACCATGCTACACTACACCACCCACCTCTGCACCACATTGCAGCTCTGCACGCACACACACTGTTTTTTTTTTTTTTCATAGGATGCTTAGCAGCTGACAATTCAGGACGAAGGAATTGATCCTCGGGTGAGGAAATGGCCAAGGTTTGCCTATAAATTGGGAGAAAACAGACAAGAGAAAAGGGGAGAGAATTAGAGCAATTTGGCGGGCGGAGGAATTTAAGAGAATTAAAGGGAATTTTGGGCAGAAGAATTTGGGAGGAATTGGAGAGAGGGAATTGTGTGAGAATTGGGAGGAAAATTTCTGAGAACTTAAAGAACATCAAAGGTTTTCTAGGTTCAAAGTGTTTGTTGGGTTCACCCCTATTTCTGGGTTTTCTGGATTAGAACGAAGAACAGCTGGGAGAAGCAAGCAGAAGGCCAATCTCCCCTCGCTGCCATCGTTCCATTCTAGATCAACCGATTCAGGTAATCTCTTTACTCCTCCCTTTTATTTCAATACAAATCATCAATCTCCTGCCTCTGGTTGGTTCAAGAACCAACGATGGTAGTGGCTTAGCCACTGCCATTACACAACATTCAACCCACCCTTTTTTTTTTTTTTTTGAGAGAGAGAGAAAGAAGGGAAGGCTTTCTGGGTTTTCTGGGTTAGATAGAGATGGAGAGACTGGATGGTTGAGACCGAGAGGAGAGAGAGAGAGAGAGAGAGAGAGAGATTGAGTTGTCTTGGGTTTCGATTCTGAGAAGAAAAGGAGAAAGGGGTTCAGAGGACAAGATCACCTGGATCTCAGTAGGTTGATTTGAGTTTTTGAATGGTGAAAGAGAGGAAGGAGGAGATGGAAGCCTTCTGGGTTTCTGATGAGTGAAAGAAGAGAGACGAGCGAGAAAGGGAGGGAAGCTGTGTTTGGTCGAGATGAGGGGCAAGGAAAGATTAAAACGTGTTTGTGGGTTTGGACTTAATCCAGAGGGAAAAAGGAAAAGGAGTTCTGGGCTGGGCCAAGCCCAACCCACATGGAATCAGGCCTGGGCTGGCCTCAGCCTAGCCCAGGCCCGCCCAAGAAAGAAAGAAGGGATGGCCTGACTAGCAGGCCAGTGCAGTGGGCCCAGCCCAGTGGGCCTGGCCGACTAACAAAATGTCCAAATGTTTTAATTTCATTTTTTTATAGATAAATTAACCTTGGATGTTTTTTATTTGTGTAAGTTTATTTAGTGTTTAATTTAGATTTTAATATTCTAGATCTCTTAGAATTGATTTATTTAATTTTAGAATTTTGTTTCAATAATTAATTTAGGTAACTAATAGGTAGACGAATTGTCAATTTTTTTAATTTTTAAGGAATGATGACGATTCCCCATTGAAAAAAAGACTATTAGTTAATGATAATTTAGATTTTGTTTAAGTAATTAATTAGTTTAGATAATTAATAGGTAGATGAATTATCGAGTCTCTTAATTTTTAAGGACCAATAACGATTCTTCAATAACAAAAAGATAAATAATAATAATAATAATAAAATGATGAACAAAAAAAAAAAAAAAGAGGAAATATTTAGTTAATTTTTGTTTTAGATTTTATTCCAATAATTAGGTTAGTTAATTAATAGGTGGATGAGTTGTCAAGTCTTCTTATTTTTAAGGACCAATGATGATTCTCCACCAATAAAAAAATAATAAAAGCAAATAAAAAATGAACAAAAAAGGGAATAGTAAGAAAATAAAAAAGAAAATGCTAAGACAAACTAGTAAAGTCTCTTATCTAATGAGATTGTTGTTAGCTAAAAAAATCACTTTAGTAGTTAGATAGTTCTCCGACATACCGATTATGTCGAGACTTAAAGTGAGTCAAATGTTTGAACTTATATGTCTCTTGATGAAGAGGATTGACGATTAGTTCAATATGATTGCACAAATAAAATTAAAAAACTTAATATGGCCTAAAAAACCTTGGAGTTTAAATAAAAAATAATTTGATACAAATAAAACTCGTTAGGAGATAAATGTTAAGACTAAACTAGATATTGTATCTTTCTTTGAAAATGATATTTTTGGACGATTGATATCTTTTTAAAAACGTAACTAATTCTTTACCTTAAAATCTTTGAACCAAGTATTATTTTTAGATTTTTAATTCTTACAATGCTAGGTGGCAACTCTCAAAATCAATAATAACACAAATCTCCAAAATTCCTAAATAATTCGAAAGATAATTAAATCTTAAGTTTTTTTTTCAGAAGTTACATCCGATGTAGAATAGTGAAAACACTAAATGATGGTCAATGATTTTTTTTTTTTAATTGATTTGGTGTGTCGAATAGGTCTCTTTCTCCTCTCCTTTTTATAGCAAGGAGAACTCCCGATATTTTTGGCTATTTTCTTTTTTACAATAAAAAAATATATTCAAACCAGTTTATACATTAATCATAATTAAGTCACCTTTCGATAATCTATAAAACGCATCTCTACATTAGCCTGGTACATTTTCAATGAAATGAAACGAATCATTTACATTAAAACTTAAAATATTTTCAATAAAATCCCATCTGAATTGTATAATTTAATAATAATATAGCATTCAATAAAGAAGACTATGCTTCCCTTTATTCTTGTTACAATATAATCAATCATCCCCGAGCAGCACATTAAATGCTACTCTCCCTATTCTTCTGACCACATAATTTGCCAGAAAACCTCTTTAAAACCAAGACAATTAAAAATGACATGTAGTAGAAGAAATGTGAGAGGATGCCTTCCACAATTCGGTTGATGGAAGGTGGAAGCCACCATTGAAGGTATAGCAATGTTTGACCAAAGATACACAAAGCTCCCACAAAAACAGCAAGAACTGCTAACCACGAACTGATACAAAGAAGATATTGGATCAGTGCTGTGCCTGCACCAATGTAGAATGCTAAGCACATACTAAATATAGACCCACCAACCAAGTTTGATGATATCCAAAGTGCATAGGGTGCGAATTTGAGATCATTCAATTGTGTCCAAAGAAGGATTATGGCAGCCACAACAGAACTATTCAAAGACCAGATGTCAACTATAATGTAAAGGTTTAGTAAAAGTGGCCCAACATGGATGCTTCTTTGAAACTCGCTAGAACTTCCTTTCTCAGCTAATTTCGGCAGTTGGGTAGCTCCGGCAAATGTTACACCAGCAACAAATACTGCTACCAAAAGAAGAAACTCTATCTTGGTCTTAACATCCTGCTTCTTTGGGGGTTGGCTGGAACATCAAATAATTCGAATAGGGATTTTTGCGGCCAGCATGGAAGTAGAAGATGGACAGAGTTATCATCTGCATGCATAATTAGGGACTAAATTGTAATTAACTTTTTGTTTTTTTTTTTTTTTTTAAGAAATGCGATTAATTAATTAATTATTCTTAATGATTTCAGCAGCAATTTTAGCTTCTCATTTCATAGTATTCTTTGAAAAACAATGTAGTTATAAATCATATGGCATGCTACAATAATCATTTTGAGATATTATGAAGTTATAGATACTATCCAAAAACTTGAAAGTTTTGATAAAAACTAGGATGACGATGATGGGTATATGTATATATATAGATATAATTTGTATACCTACTCACAGTCTAGAAAACACAAATCCATCTTGGCTAAAAAAAGTCTAACTACATCTAAATCATTTGAAATTGAGTCCCTGAATTTTTTTTTTAATTAGTTTTGAGGATCCACGAACTTTTATTTTTTATTTTTAAAATTTAATCCATCTTTCAATTTTCTTTCATTTATCTAAAAAACTAACAATCACATAAATATTTTCATGATAAAAATTATTCAGTAAGATTTATGTGAGACTTCTAAACAAAAAATTTAGAATTATTTTAGGGTTGTTTTTATTTTCCCAATTATTTATATTTTTAATATTCAATAAATAAATAAATAAAGTTTTTAGTTTTGAAAAAATTTGAAATTATTTTACAAAATGGATTGAATTTTGAATTTTTAAAAATATGTGTGCAAAATTTTAGTTCAAAATACCAAGAATTAAATTTTTTAGAGGGAAAAGTGATAACTAAAAATCATTGAATGAATAAATTTTAAGAAATTAAAATTTTAAAGATCACCGATATTAATAAAAAAAATTCAAAAACTGAATCTCAAATGATTTAAAATTTAGAAATGGTTAGAACTTTTTAACCATCCATCCTCGACTCATGGCTAACCTCAACCTGGTCAGGCTAATTTAGGTAATTAAGGTGCCTTGTCCACCTCTCAGGTATATAAACAACTGGATCCCTTGTTTTTTTACAAAGCCATGCATCTCTCAATTTCACATGCCTTAAAAATTACATTCTAAAAAATAAAAATAAAAATAAAATCTGAAAACTAGCATTTGCATCTATTCTATTTTTTATAGGAATAATAATTGAATTCATGCTTAAATGGTAGTAATTTAAAAACTATAAAAATTACACTAATAACATAGGAAATTCTTTTATTTCTTAATTTCTTTAAGATAGATTCCTTTCTTTTCCTATTTTCTTTTTCTTATCAAGGGAACTTTGTTATAACATAAAGCTAAATAATTAGATCATTTTACAGGGTGTATATATATTGAATCTGATCAAGCTTTTTGATAAGCTTTATGATTTATTATTTTTCTAGAGCTTTTGGTATTTTTCTTGATTCTGATACTACAGAATTATACTAAATTCGAGTTTTTTTTAATATAAATTTTAAGTATTTATCTTTTCTTTTAGAACTTCTAGAGATTGATCTCGATTTTGGTGTTTAGTGTTGCTATGTAGGATACGTAGGTGATTTTTTTTTTTTGATAATATCAAGATTAATAACAAAATAGGATTTAGTTTAAAATCAAATTAATTGTACAAGTAATATTATTGAACACAAACTCTCATAATAAAGATAATTATACTAATTAGTTATGTTGGAATCTATTTAATAAAAATCTAGAAAAAAAAATCTATTTATATTCTCTACTTATAACTCTCATTTTCTGAATGGCAAGTACACACACACTCTCTCTATTTTTTTCTTTATAAATTTTATTTGATAGACAATTTAGGTGGAATTTTCTTTAATTTTTTTTTTTTTTGAGAATTCATATACGTTCATTTTTAATTACAAGAAGTGTGTAATTTTTTTTCTTTTTAATTAGAAACAGTGCTAATCTATTGGTTTGTTTAATTAAATCTATAACATTTTATAAATAAAAATTATTATTTTTTAATAAACCACAGCAACACGTTTATATCTATGTCATTTGCATTTAATTATGTTTAGTGCTTTCTAAAGCAGAATTAATTTTCCAAAAAGAGAAAGAATAGAAGGAAAAAGATTCAAAAATAAATAAATAAATAAAATAAAAATAAAGAACATGCTTACCACTTGGTAAAAATCCAGCCTTTTGCAGCCGTTCGAATCTGCCGTTTCATGTTGCTTTTTTGCATCAGCTAACTTATCCTGCTCCAGTAAATACAGTAGTTTTCTTAGAGAATTGCATGTTAATTTATATAGTTCTTTTGCAGCTTATGTCCCAACAAAATAGTATTTTGGAGACCGTTCCATGCTATAGTTTAAAGATTCTAATTAAGTAGAGAAACTGATATCTCAATTACAATTATCGTTAGAAGTTAATACAAAAACTATTCTTGAAATATATCTACTTTGTTAAGTGGTATCTGTTGAAGTCTGTGGCATTCATTTTCCTTCTTTTGCTGGAGCCCTGGACATCTTCTCCATTCATAATTGGCCATTGTTTCTCTTTGCAACTTTTTCAAGGTTAGTGCACTTTTGATCTTTTGCTTTATTATTTATTCTGTTCTTTGCTATTTCTCCTGGTGGGCTCTCGTTTGCTCCCTAGGTGTTTTTTAATATGTCCATTTGGCTTACAGGCAAAAAAAAAAAAAAGGCAAATAAAATCAAACTCATACCTCTTTCAAGTCCACCATGGCCACGTTGTCTGTATCACACTGGTGTTCCTTTGCAAGCTAACCAACACATTGAAATGACAACCACAAAAATAGCATGACTAAAAAAAAAAAAAAACACCAGAAAAATTTGTTCATATGCTATGCTTGTGTAAATTTACCATGAACTATTTTTTCCCAAAAATATTTACTACATATCCTCTTTTTTTAAAAGGTATTTTAAATAACCTAAAGTATTTATGTAGAAAAAACAAGAAAAAACAAATTATATATGCATATATGGCATGTCGTAATTGTATGGTTTTGTTTGTGTTTTTCCAAAAATATATATATGCCTTACCATTTTATCTGATTTTTCATATTCCATTACAGCTGCTTTGGATTGGTTCTCTGCAACATTATAAGATGTCAAGTTTTCATTGTTGACAATCTCTTTATCGACCCGCTTGTCCCGAATTAAGCCGAACACAGCAAAGGATTTGCCATGCTTTGCTGCCAAATGCAATGGTGTGTTTCCATCCTCATCAGTCTCATTTAGCAGTGCATTCGGAAGCTTGCTAGAAGAATTTCCATTCTCCTCCGAAATATTTGTTAGAATATACTGCACAACCTTTTCTTGCCCATGTTCAGCTGCAACGTGGAGAATGTTCTGCTCTTTTCCATTGAGAAATTCCATTTTATCAGGCCATTGTTCCAGCAACACTTCCACTACTTTAACATGTCCATGTTTGCTTGCAATATGGATAGGTAAGTTGCCTTGTTTGTCTCTTTCAGTTGCACCAGCTTTATATTTCTCTAAGAGGAATTTAACTCCCTCAATATAGCCTAAAGATGATGCATAATGAAGTGGATTTCTCAACTCTTTGTCTTTATAATGTAGCAGTGCTGGAAACTTTGTTGCTAATTTTTGCAGTTTAGCTGAAATTCAAAAGAAATTGTTGTAATGAATATAAATACAGGTAAATTTCAAGGGAACGTAATTTCTAAATCTACAACAGGTTTTGTACAAATAAAGATAATGCAGATAGCACATACTAATTCCAGCAGATTTCTATGCAGATAACACATCTCAAAAACCAAGCACAACCTCGCACAAACAAGGGCATCAACCAAAGCAAAACATCCTTATTCTGTTAGATAGCATTAGTCATAAACTTTAACAAAGCATCACCCCAGCAAGAAGGTTGCCACAATAACAACATAAGTAATTGTCATTGAACATGTAAAATAAAGGCAATTAGCTGAGTGACAAAAGCTAATGGGTGTCTTTTAAACATTATCTAAACACTTTTGCTACCTGCCATTTTTTGTGGGGTTTGGTTGTAATGGCATAGAATTGAAATCTATGTTTAATTAAAATCTAATCTACATCCTTGATTGAATTTTTATACGATAATAATAACCTTAATGAAAACTATTTTTTTCTCTCCCTATTCCCACCAAAACGGAAACTCCTGTACCATTATCACCAAAACAAAAAAACTTTATTTTCTAACCCTAAAAAAGAGCACCTATGTTAGTATTCTCCTCGGAATTTAATTTCTGTGTTATAGGTCTTGTCATGTAGTGATATTTAATTACTACTTATCTCTTTGTACAAATTTATTCGTATTTCTATAATCTCATTGATTTTAAAAATAAAAACAGGAAGAGTGTGGAAGCCATATATATATATATATATATATATATATATATATATATATATATATATATATTGAGTATGAGGGTTATTTTAATCATTTTTTATAATAGTCAAATAAGTTAAATGAACCTTATTTCATACCCAAACTTCTTTAATTTCTTGAAAAATAATATAACAAAACCAGAAATCAGAAATGAATTAATTAGAATTTTTTTTCCCCTTAAAGAATAAGGAATTTTGATTCATTCTTAACAAGAGCTCACGTGACCTCAGATGGCATGCCATTATTACTTTTATAATGGCATTTTTAATTAATTATTGTAGAGTTTGTCTATATCTAAATCACTTTTTTCTTTTTATAATACATATAGATAAATTGTAATCACCTTCGCTATGTAGCTCGATAGCAGCATACACCGGTGACTTTACTTCTGGTTGTAACTTGCTATGCGAATCGCCATCTTCTCTTTTTGGGTAATTTGAATTGCCATATTGTATAGCATCCAAAAGAAGATCAAGGATATCGATCCCACCGCCATTCTTTACTGCCAGATACAATGGAGACTTACCTGCTTTGTTGTAGTAATTATAAGCCACTTCTCTGTCTTCCCCAACCAGGTGTTCGGCCACATCATAATCACCATTGATCACTGCTTCGTGTAAAGGAGTGTTTCCTTTTTTATTTGTCATCTTCAGCAAGCTAGCATCTGCTTGGACCAGAATTTTAACTGTGCTCAACTTTCGGTTTCTAGCGGCAAGGTGAAGTGCGGTGTCACCCTGGTAATTTTCTCTTGTGATTAGGGAAGTGAGCTCCCGAGCCACATATCTTGTGACATTTTCGCTTTCATAGCTGGCAGCAACATGAAGTAATGAATTACCAGAGGGAGTCACTGCATCAAAAATGGTCGACAATGGTGCATGCTCTTTGGATTGATATTGTTGCAGGGAATGATAATCAGTTAACTCATTGATGCGATCCTTCTTCGCATATGTATATAACTCAAGGTTCATTGTTTCTTTTGCCTCGTGATCAGGATCCTCATCGACAGCTATTGCTACAAATCCTTTCATGATCCAAAATCGTCTCAGCTACTTGAATCTGCTACAGATCATAAGAGACCTGGCCTTTTTTTTTTTTTTTTTTTTTCGGAGAAGAGAGAATCGTATTTCATTGAATGAATTGAACAGTTATAGACTAACCTGTTTCAGTGGAATATTCTGAAGTGAAGTGAGGTTTAATTAATTGATCACTGCATAGATGCTTTGAGTCCTCATCTAATCCAAGAAATTAGAAAAGGAAAAGTCCAATGCCTAGACATTGTTTCATGCACAGGTGATTCTTGTACTTAATTATTCCTAACTTAAAGAGCAGTTGGGCGAATCCTGGGGTCAACGTGATACACATTGGCGTAGATTATTAACTTCGAAGCTAAAAAATTGCTCTAAAGCTTTAAGCTATGCATATGTATGTGCCGTTTACCTTAAATCATTTTTTTTAATGTGCTTTAAACACAATATATTAATACATCCAAATGCTCAATTTTATTTGTCGAAAAAGAATTGTATTTCACAAATTTTAACAGTAAAATAAAATATTATTCCTTAAGATAATGCATCATTATTTTAATTCTTTTCTGATGTCAAATGCTCAAAAATATTTATGTTTATATAAAGTGTGAATAAATGACAAAAATAATAATTAAATAATAATTAATTTTTTAATAAACTCGCAACTACTATGACTGGTAATGGCTATATAATAGCTAGTAATGGTTGTATTAAATATTAATAATAATCAAAATTATTAAGTATCGAAATGATTAGTATTATTATTATTATTTGGTGAATAGGATCGTATTTGATAGAATGAATTAAGAGGTTATAGACTAGCTTGAAAAATAATCAGTGGAATATTCTAAAAAGGGAAGTGAAGTTTAATTAATTCAGTTGCATAGAGGCTCTGAGCCCTCGTCTAATAGGAGGAATTAGAAAGGGGAAAAGTTCCATACATAGCTAGACATTAATGCAAAGGTAATTCTTGTGCTTAAATATTCCTAACTTGAATATATAATTGGGCGAATCCTGAGGGGTCAGCATGAAACACGTTTTGTCTAGAATATTATTGACTATGAAGCAAAAAATTGATTGCCCTAAAGCTTTAAACTATGTATATTGTATGGGCTTTTTACCTATCAACTTTTTTGGTATTTTATTATTTTTTTCTTACATCTCAACCTAAATTTCAAAAGCTTAATCTGGTTTGTGTTGATTTAATTTTTAATTAGAAAAAAATTAAAAATAGGAAGATTTGAACTCCTACTCTGTGGTCATTAAATTTTTGATGTCATATCAAAAACTTCTCAACCTTATAATTTAAGTTGTTAAATGAAGTCGGACTCATGAACTAGACGAGAAAAAAATTCTGCAAGGTCTTTCCTATGAAGTAGGCATTTCTAAATTTATTTTATTGTTTGTATTTTGAAGGAACTTTGATACATCAGCCCATACACATGCGTGTATATATAAAAGTATATATGCATACATACTGGGATTTATTTTTTTATACAAGATGACAGCTATAACCACGTGTTTCAAACCTTTCAAATTCTTATTTGTTGGAGTATGAAAATAAATGGTGAATATGGTCCACGAAATAAATGCCCAAGCTCCTTTTAGGTCCAATATGATCCTCATGCTTCGATAGCTCACATTGATGCAAGAATATCTATGGTTAAAGAAGAAATATTATACTAAGAATACCAAAACACTAATGATCTAATTGTTGAATCAATGGAAACTGTAATAATTGCTAAAAGAAGGGAAAAAAGTACTTCTTAAAACATAATCTCTCTAATCATGAAGTTCATATGATGCACAATTTAATCACAAATATTTTTGAGGAAATATTTTTCTCTACACATTTGTGAGACTCTTTGTTTGTATACTAGCATACATCTTGCACGTTACCACAGAGTAAATCATACAACATTATTATATATTCATTCATATAAAATATAAAATTTAAAAATAATTATTCAAAAGTATCATGAGAATTTTTTTTAAAAAAAGAACTAAAACATGTATTTCATAATTTGTAACGGGGTTAACTAAACAAAAAGTCTACAAAGTTGAGTAATATAATGTTGCTAATTAGATATTGTTTGATATAATTAAAATATGTATAATAATTGATAATTAAAATAATAATGTGGTAGTTTTTAAAATTTTAGATAATTAATTTTTAACATTTATTATTCATCCGTAATTTGTTAATGAGATAGAAAAATCACCCAAAACAAACGGACAAAAAACCTTTTTCAAATCGAGAATTTGACAAAGAAAATAAAGATAAAATCACACACGATAAAAATTAAATGATCAAAATAAAATAAAGATCATAAAAAAAATCTAAATAAATAAATAAAACTTACACTAAAAGAACAAAAAAACCTTATAAACAATAAGACTAAAAAAAAAAATTCATTATGCATAAGGCAAGAACAAAAGTAAAATATTATAGAATTTTAATGACAAAAATAAAAAATAATAATAAAATAAGAATCAAAACATAAAATATTTTTTACTAAAAAAAAAAAGAAAACTTAGAATAGTAAAACCGCATTTAATTTTAGTGTAGAATGAATAATAAATATCATAAAAATTTAATGATCAAAATAAATGAAAGACCACAAAACAAAAACCAAAATATAGCAAAATTTTTTACTAAAAGTAAAAAATAGTTTCTTACGAGGAAAAAAATCAAATATAATATAGATTTAATGATCAAAATAAAAAACAATTACAAAACAGGGACCAAAATAAAAAAAAATCTCCTAAATTTAATGGCAAAAAAAAAAAAATCACAAAATAGGAATTATAATAGAAAGAAAAATTTTATTAAAAGCCAAAAAAAAAAAAAAAGCTTAGGATAGTAAACTTTATTTAGTTTTAATATAGTAAGGATAAAAATCAAACATGATAAAACTTAATGACAAAAATAAAAACATATCACAAAATAAAAATAAAAAAGAACATAAATTTTTACTAAAAGCCAAGAAAAAAATATTTATTATTGGAAAAAAATAAAATATAATAAAATTTTAATATTTATTGTAGGGATAAAAATTAAATATAATAAAATTTTATTGATCAAAATAACAAAAGATTAGAAAAAAGGGACCAAAATTAAAAGCAATTTCCTTAAAAGCTTGGAAGCTAGCAATCGAAACGAAAAAAAAAAGAGTGAACAGTGAATAAGAAGTAGAATGATATGGTTGTTTTCTGTTTTGTTATAGAGATACAAATCAAATATAATAAAATTTTGATGACCAAAATTAAAAAAAATTAGAAACAAAGGATCAAAATAAAAAGCAATTTCCTTAAAAGCTTGGAAGCTAGCAATCGAAACCAATAAAAAAAACAAAGTGTAAAAGGTTGGAAGTTAGCAACCAAAAGAAAAAAAAAAGGTAAATAGTGAGTAAATAGTAAAATGCTATAGTAGTTTTTCATTTTCTTTTAGTTTTATTGTAATTTATACATGTGTTTGTTACATCATTAGAAGCTAAAAATAACAAAACCAAAATACATAGTAAAGTCCGTTAAGAATTCAAGCACTAAAACTTTATCCTTAACTCTTTGTTGAGTTTGTTGAATAGAATTTGGATAGGAAGAGAAGCGTTGTTGCTACGAGTCATTATCCGATGTTCACAAAACTCGTCAAAAATATTTTATTTTTATGTATGAAGATTTGTTTATTTAAGAATATGAGTTATTATTAATTTTAAAATCGTCACCTAGTATTAAAGATAATTAAGAACCTAAAATGATCAATGGTTCAAACATTCTATGATAAGAAATTGATTATGCTTTTGAGAAGATATTAATTACTCCAAGGCATCATTTCCTAAGAAAGCTAATGTTTAGTTTATCCTTAAAGTATATCTTCCGAAAAATTTCTATTTTTGCCAAAATTAATCCTAAGTTAAAATTTCAAGTTTTATTCCCCAAGCTAAATTATATATATTTTTTATTTTATTTGTGTCATCATATTGCACAAATTGTCGGACCCATTCGTCGGATATCTCATCAATTCAATATTGAATCTAGTTTAATTCTCGACATAACCAGGTATGTTGAAAAATGACCTAATTATTAAGATGGGATTGATTTGATTTAACATCAATCTTTATTAGATAGGAGATTTTGTTAATTTTTCATTTAGTATTTTTTTTAATAATATTTATTTATTTTTTACCTAGCATTTTCTTTCTCTCTTTTTTTTCCTTTCTCTTTTTTTTTTTTTTTTTTTTTTTTTCATGTCTCTCTCTCTCTTTTCAATCATATTCTCCTTTTTTGTATCATTTTCTTTTCCCTTTTTTTTTTGCTTTATCATTTTTTATATCTTTTATTGTCCTTAGCGGGGAGTCATCATCAATTTCTAAAAATTAGAAGACTTGACGACTCATCCATTTGTTAATTATCTAATCTAATTATCAAAATTAAACCTAAAATTAAACATTGACTAAATAAATATAAGAACTCAGAAATTCAAAGAATTAAATCTAAGATTTGGCATAAAAATAAAATGCATGTATTAAAATTCAGAACTAATTTATTTGGAAAAATGACTAAATTAGGGGTATTGGGCCTTTTGGGAGCAGGCCAGCCTATTTTCACTCTTTCTGGCTTGGGCTATGCTGAATTCAGCCTAAGCTTGGTTGCACGGGCTGGGTCGAAGCTCAGCCCATTCAACCCCTCACGTGGCCCAGCCCCTCTCTCATTGTGTTTCGGCCAGACCAATCCCAAATGTCCTAACATTTTTCTATATCATTCCCAAATCAACAGAGATCAAAATCTCTGAATCGAACGCCTTCTCCTTTCTCTTCTCCTCCTTCAATCCCAATCTTGTCTGTAACCTAACTTCCTCTCCAAATCGCTTTCCCTAAGTCCTCACCCAGCACTAATAGCCCGATCTCCTCTCATCTCTTTTAAACCCAAAAGTCAAGCTATCAATTCCTCCCAAAGTCAAATCCCTAGATCGTTTATCACATCCATTGTTTCCGTTCAGCCCT